TATAGTGTTGCAGCGCTAATCTTTTTTTTCATCCATTTATTCTTTTTTCTCAGAAATCCCGACAAGGGCCTTCAGTTCCTGATCTCACGAGGCTTCATCCCGGACACGCCCATCGGCGTGGCCCACTTCCTGCTGCAGAGGAAGGGCCTGAGCCGACAGATGATCGGAGAGTTCCTCGGCAACAGCAAGAAGCCCTTCAACAGAGACGTCCTGGAGTGAGTAGGATTTCATACATTATTTCCAGAAATCGTTTTAGGTGATTCTCCTCGGTAATCCCTCCTTTTTCCTGGAGATCAGGGGTCGGGGTCAACTGCCGCCCCGGATTCGATAGGGGATTTAACACATGGAAAATCCTCAGCCCTATTAGTTACAAGCTTTGCACAGGTTTTACAGTTTAGACATTTTTCTGCCCTCGCTCGAGGTCTAATGATTTCCCGAAATCCAAATGTGAAACCTAAATTATAACTTCAGTATCCACTTACGTCAAAGGTGTTATTTTTCCTGACAGAGACATTTCATTATATTTCTCAGTGTGATAAACACGCTGAAAACAAGGCAGAATTGAAGTGTCACGATCCAACAAATAAGCCCTTATCTGATTCTTGTAAATGCAGGCTGACTTGCAGCGCGAGAATTATAGAAGAAAAAGGAAAGAGCTGATAAGGCAAAAATAAAATAACAGAATTTCCTGCCCTTTGAAAGCTTCCTTCGTGTTTTGTCACATTAATATTAAAGCCACAGTTGCTGTTACATTGACATCATTATATCAGATGGGAAGGAAGACACAAGGAGCAATTTAACCGTCATCCGATAATGTAAAGATTAACTTGGAGATTTCATAACCCACAGTCACCACTTAGAGCACAGAAAGATGCACTGTGTGGATTCGATAAAGTGCTATTGTGCTGCTATGTCATGCATAAGCATATATGGGTACAAGTTCAGAGGTGCTTCCAAAGGTGGCCTGGGGGGGACCACAACCCCAGATCGGAAAGGTCAAATTTATTTGCCGTATGTCCAGGGTTCAGTTAACTACAGCGTCCAGGCACAAGTAAAAGCAGCATTAGATGACTGCAACAGCTTTTTATATGATGAAGCGTACACACAGTCCTCAACACATTAACAAGAGCTTCCAGTGTGTACATGGAATTAAATGACCCCTGACATGGAGACAGCATTGTTCAGGATCTAACAGTGAACGACTTCTCTACACTTCAGAGTCACAGTTTATCGGTTGCAGATTAGTCGTTTGTTCCACAGCTGAATCCTGAGTTCGAAGCGGGAAATTTGAAGCACTGATTTTGTCATTTAACCAAAGTACGGCCACAGGCTGCCCAGTCACAATGAAAACATCTGTTATTGCACCATAATTGGCTTGAGTTACTAAGTTATCATTGCACATGGGCAGAATTTTCAGTGTCAATATCACAGATAAACTATGCACACCTATATCGTGTCAATAGGTGAACTATAATACATTTTCTCCTGGGCCACTGTGACAGACTGGTGAGCTGTCCAGGATGTACCCTGCTTTGCCAGTGTAAAAAAAAACAATTGGATGGGTAGACATATGCAGATATTTAAGAATTCATACCAGCCTGTTATACCTGTAATCGAGGTGTATAATATGTGTAAAGTATAACGTTCATGATTTTTCTAAAGATAGCATTAATTTCAGACTAGCTGGCACATTTTAGATTTCAGAGTGTTGAAGTGCAACTAAATCAAAGTGCACTTTTTTTTATCTGCTACAGCAGCCACCAACCAGTACCAGTACCAGGCCGTGGGTCATTTGGTACCAGGCTGCACAAACGGTTTTTTGGTTTATTTTATTTCCAGCGAAGTCTGCGCAGTTGTTTTATTTTGAAAAATGACAAGTTTGTCTTCCCATCACTTCCACCTGTGCTTATTTCTCACACTTGAATCTGTCAGTTTTCATGCCCGCTGTCACAATGAATTAAGAAACACATCGAGATAGAAGAAAAAGTAAGTACATGTTTAGCAATAAAAAGTGATTTTATTTGTTTGACGCTTTTTTAATGGGAAAAAATGATTTGTATTTTGTTATGTGGGCAAAAGCGGTCCACGGTGCAAAAAAGCCTAGGGCCCACTGTGCTATAGCAAACATATCTGCTCTGTGAATCCCTTGAAAAAAATCTGACACCAAACAGGAGAAGTTTATATTAAGAATTTTTGGTCACATGAAGGTTTTGCATTTATTTTTTGGGTCAGTGCATAAATGGATGCAGCCAATCAAATCTTGAGTGAAGCTTTAACATCAGCGTTCCGTCACAGGCAGACAGCAGCCTGCTACACAACACCTTTTCTTCCTTGTCATTCGTCTTACAAACACGTCTTTTCCTTTGCACCTTAGCTTCTTGAACGAGCCACTACGAAAACCGAGGAGAAAGGACGAGGCTCCGTTGCTAATCAGCCATTCAGCTGCAGCGCCATTAAACAGCATGTAAATGTATTTGCAAATGTCACTTCGGTCCACTTAGATTCCAGTGCGGTCGCCGCTCTTCAGAATCACTGCTAACAGCATGCTGTCTTCCCATGACATGTAAGCTACAAGTTTGTTTACTTTGTCTCTTGTTCCCTTCGGTGCACCGGCACGCTGGCAGGCGGCCAGCTGCTGTCAGTCAAACACAGACACAACACGGCCCACGGCGGAGGCAAAAAAGAAGCTCCTCTCATATTTCCCCGAGGACCTCTTTTATTGTGTGTTTTATTAAAATGAAAGACTATTAATGTGAGCTCAGCTAGAAGAAGGATGGCTGAAGTAGAAGCAACAGAGGTATCCTGACTTTTAAGCCACTCATATGGTGCAAGCTTCAAAGATCTTTTGCTTCCTATGATGCACTTTAGTAGAGTCAGATCTGGCCTTTTAGCGATCCGAGTCCCTTCTATAGCTTCCAAACTGTTGCATCCTCCTATATGGCACCGTCTTTTTCTCAGTAACACGCCCAGATCACATCAGGTTTACTATCTGTTGCTACTCCAGAGTCATACATACGGTTCTTTTCACGTGTTTTATGTGAAGCCACCATGCAGAACATTAAGGTTCTTTTTATTTCTACATATTCCACAACATATTGTTTGATCAGAAGCTGCACAACTTTAAGCATTTACACAGAGTTTGTAATTAACTGGTGTATGTTCATATATATTTAAAATCTGCTTTCGACTGCAGTATGATGTGTTTATTAAATGTTAGTGTGCTGCTGATGAATACTAGGTCAGGACAGAATCAGTAAAGTGTTCATCGAATAACACATTTATTATCAGTGGCAACGGATTTAAAAAGCTATTTTTTCAAATGAGCATTATTCGGTGTGTTTTTTTTAACCTTTTCTGAACAGACAGGGGGAAAAAAATCCAATAAAACACAGATGAACCGGAGGGTTGGAGACCAGGAACATGCGTCTTGAATAAATACAAAGACACTGCGGCACACATGCGTGCACACATGACTCACTTCAGCCCTGTGAGTTTCATTCCAGGTCATTAACCTGATTGCTGTTATTTGCTTTGAAACTGCAGAGGTCATTTTCTCTCTCCCCCATGCACAGTTATTTCCATCTTTCAATACGCACCTTCCTTGATGTCAGTAATTGCCTTTTTTATTCTATTACATTCCCCCATTCACCAATTACCTCTAAATTTGCATATCAATTCAAGGAGGTTCCGCAGATCTCTCTTTCATCCTCCTTTTTTTTTTTTGCACAAGTGGCCGAACCGAGACGACACTTTCCGTTCTCCGCAAGGTCACACACAAACATGACATAGCACTCTACCGAGTTGTTCGTCACCCTCATCTAATATCTATATTTTCTTAAACAGGCACCGTCACGGTTCCGGAGACGTTTTATTAACAGGATTATGCTCTTAAGGCTTCAAACTCTCAATTCGCAAGCGCAGATATACTCGCGGCGCAGGTGACATTGGGATATATAGACGTATATTTTCCCTACTTTCCCGGCAGCAGTCAAACAGCGGCGGCCCGTAATGGAAGTGATGTTGAAGAGGAACATCATAGGAGAGTGCAAAGTGTGCGAGAGAGCACTTTCGATAAAGTGTAGTCACAGGAGAGCGAGTGAGGGATAGCGGTCTAATGTGAAAATCACTCATGGTGATTTACTGAGCCTGAATGTGTGAGACTGTGTTGGGGGAGCTTGTGAACGCATGTGTATTTGTGTTTTTCTTCTCCAGTCTCTTGTATTGCTGAACCTCCCTCCTTTCCCTTCCTATAAAGTAAATGGGGCCTCGTTCTCTTCTCATTTCTTCAAGCATAAACAACAATAGTTAAAACGTCTTGGGTCAATTAAGCCAAATTGTGCTTATAGATTCAGGTTCCCAGAAATGTGGCACCCAGAGGACTCATTTACTGATAATGTAGTTTACCTATTCAGCATGAAAAATGAGATCAGTTTGAACCTGTCATGTCCTTATTGGCTGCTCAAAATATGGCGCCATGTGGCTTTGTATTTCTTTTCATTTTCACGTGTTTGCGCCAATTGAAGCTGTGCTATATGGACAGATGTTTTCCATTTTCCTGCCAGGTAACTGTGTGAAATCCAACAACGTGCACATGTGTTCTGTGCATGTGTGGTCTCCCATGCGTATGTTTTATCATGTTAGTGTGTGTGTGTGTGTGGGGAAGCGATGCGAAGGGGGGAGGAGAGGGCTGATGTACTTAGGCTAGAGAGCATCTCGTCTGACATTACATAAACAAGGAGTGACAGCCGGGGACGGAGGAGAGGGAGGTGGTGGAGCGAGGGAAGTGAGTCATGAGGAGGGCGATCAGAGAGGCCCGACAGTCAGGGGAGTTGATCAAGAGGACCATCAAGCCAGGCTTACTGTACTATACGCTTAACCTTTGTAAGCGCTGTGTTAGGAATGTGTGTTTCTTCTTTAAATCCAATCTATGTTGGCTAGAGACACAGTTCAAACAATGTATTGTGTATTAGTTGCATCAGCTGTATGAAAGCAGTGCTGTCACCTCAAAGCAAGAAGGTAAGAGGTTTTTATGTGTTGTGAGCTGGTCAATAACATGCAAGGTGCTTGACAAAAAACAAGTCCTCAGTGGTTGCAAAGATATTTAGCGGCATCAAGTGTATCACAGTGCTTGTATCATGACAAGACAGACCATAAATAAGAATCATTGCAATAGAAGTAATAGCATAGTGGTGTTGAGAAACCACAGAAGTATTGGTTCTTTTTACAGTCACACATTGGAAAGGAATGCATTTGTAAAAAAAAAAAACAAAAACAATTTGGCCTTTGCGTTATTAAAATGAACTTTTTTTTTCTTGTGATTTTGCAACATATTATCTGTAACTCCAGAAAACAGAGGAAATCTGTAAGAGATTGGTTTAAATAATTGTTCATTTTTCTGTCATTAATATACTTACATTTTACGTCTGCAAATATCTGTAAAATATTTTTGCTGATTCAAATGCAGAAAAAAAAATTGTCATTTGGCAGAGAAAATCACCATGTATTGAAATACCTATTTTCAATGTGGACATTATTTACAGTGTTATAAATAAATATTATACATACATGTTCTTTTAAACAACAGCAAATATTTGTAAATATCTTTTTTTTGCTGAAGTTGTATAGACATGTTGATAAACTACAGAAGTATTGCTTGTTCTCCTCTCCTCTCCTCTCCTTCAGGGGTTTATTTTGGGCTCCCTCCTGTTCATTATATACATGCTACCCCTGGGGCATAGCATGCATAGACATGACATTGATATCTGCTGTTGTGCAGATGACACCTAATTGTATCTCCCATTAAAGCCCAGTACCACTGAGGTCTCTTATTATGGCCTGCCTTGCTAAAAATTAAAAATTGGATGTTTAAGAATTTCCTTCAGCTAAATGATTCCAAATCTGATGTGTTCATAATTGACCCCCCCTCAGGAGCAGCTCTAGCAGCATTAACAATTTCGCCTCTAATCTGGCTTCCTCATCAAGTAATGTTTGTATAAACTTTGTTCTTTTTTGAGGATCAGGTGACCAAAGGGAAGCAGTCTTGTTTCAGATCAGGTCATTGCTCTCTTCTGCAGACTCAGAATAGGTCATTCATGCTTTCATAACCTCCAGACTTACCAATTGTAACGCCCTTTATTCTAGTATCAGCAAGCGAAACATCCAAGGACGGCAGTCTATACAAAATGCTGCTGCCAGGCTTTTAACACTCACCAAGAGAAGCAACCATATTACCGCAATCTTTGCTGCCTTTCACTGGTTGCCAGTGAATTGTAGAATTGACTCGAAGATCTTACTGCTTGTGTTTAAAGCCTTGAATGATCAGGCTCCTGCCTACATCTGTGATCTGTTAACTCCCTATGAGCCTCATCACTGCCTGAGATCCTCCAGCAGAGTCCCAGTGATGGTTCCAAAGCCTCGACTTGTCACTAAAGCTGATCGGGTCTTTGCTGTTCGATCCCCTCAGCTGTGGAGCTCTTTGCCTCCAGATCTCAGTATGATGTAGAAATAGTCTGTGCTGTAGTAATGTCATAGTTAGAATATGTTGTGATTATGTCGTGATTGGAAAGCTGAATTAGTGATACACATGGGACAAGTGATAGCTGAAGTAGTAACGCAGAAGTAGTAGTATAGGACTAGTCGTAGTAGTTGTTCCAAAGTGACTTAAATAGTGGTAGTGGCTGGAGTAATAAAGCTGTGGACACTAGACACGTATGAGTAGGAATGTTGTTACTTTAGTAGTAATTTAGACAAGTCTATAGTAGCAATGGTAGAAGTATGAGAAGGAGCAATTGTTTCAGTAAAGTTGGAGACCTGGAAGTAGTTCTTGGTTCTTTTAGTGGTGGTAAAACTAGCAGTAAAATGAGTAATAGTTGAGGGCGTTTCTATTGAGAGCAGATTTTGCTCTCATGTTGTGGTATTCACTGTGTAAAGTAGTACTGTAGACTCAGCTATCTGACTCTTTTCTGCTGGAGCAGCATGTGTCACAGTCAAGTACTCACCTCATTAACTCGCTTTGTTCACAGTAATCCATCTTAATGTAGTGTGTGTGTGTGTAGGGGTGTGTGTGTGTGTGTGTGTGTGTATCCCAGTGTTTCCTGCAGTACAACAAACAGAAAAGATCAGAGGCAGATGGCGATGTCTTGACACGGCTGCTGTATTTTTTTTGAGGATTTGGAGATCAACTCCATCATCTCTCCTTTGAACACGCTGTCCATAACTAAAGAAAAAAAAGAGATTAATTCGTCTTGAACCAGTGTGGGTAGCATTGAAGTAAACCACATGAAAGTCAATCCGAATGAGACTTTAATTTCATAGTTTGATTATCATTCCACTTTGTACCTCGACAGAACACCTCACATCAAAGCGAGGAGAACTTTAAAACCTCCCCATCCCATTTCCAAAGTCACCTTTCACTTCAAACCTCATCTCACCTCCAAATTGCCCACGTTGTATTTATCCTTCCACCCCCTCCCCGAACTCGTCGGACGGGATATTTTGCTTTTTTTAATTAAAGTCATTAAGCCGGGGTTGCCAGGTAATTGGAGGATTTTCTGCTCTGAGGCATTGTGTGTATGTGCATGCTTTGGCAGCTGTGGCACAGAGAAGATAGCCGGGCCCGGTCTTATCCCTGGTGTCCGTGCGTGGCTAATGCCTGCAGCAAACGGAGGGCTGCTGTGACTGGCAAGCAGATGAGTGAGCCTTCTGCTTCTTTTTTATCTTGACTTCCCATCCACAGGTTCACCCAGCCCACCGGTGAAGGTGCAACCACCGCCATCATATTGACAAACTGCCATGAATTTTGCTGTGAATTTTATTAGATTTTCCTCCGCCTTGTGTCTTCCTCCCTACTACCCTTTCCTTATCTCATCCTTCTCTCTCTCTATGCTCCACAGCTGTGTGGTGGATGAGATGGACTTCTCAGGCATGGAGCTGGACGAAGCACTGAGGAAGTTCCAGGCCCACATTCGCGTCCAGGGAGAAGCCCAGAAGGTGGAACGTCTTATCGAGGCCTTCAGGTACTCATGCAAGCAAGAGTCTGGGTTTATCAGCTGCAGTTTGCACAGACTTCTACAGCTTTGGTTCATGTTTTCTGTGTCATTTTGGCATGACAGATGGGACTAAATATTGCAGCACCCACACTTCTTCGCTGCCACTGGCATCGAGGAGAGGCACAAATTAGAGAACAAAACAGGCACACGATTCACCTGCAGTTGAACCTGAATATGAATGAACTGCACATTGCATTTTCTTTTTTAACAGTTTCATCTTGTGCTTCCTCCCACTATCAGCAGCAAACATCACAGGATTTTAAGCTTGGCGGTTGGATGTTTGTTGCAGATTTCCAAAGCTATTTTTTAAATTACAGTTCTTGGTCTTTTGTATCAGAGAATTTCATACTGATCCAAGATAGAGAAGGAATCCAACTATGAGCGGCACGATCAAAAGGAAAACGAATGGGATGCTTATCTTGAAGTGAAATAGCTCCCGACACTTTTCAATCCTTTTGACAGTTTGCTAAACCCTTGTTGGTGATGGTAAATGGTGTTCGTCTACTCTAGGTACGCTAGCCTTTGCAGCTTACATTAGTTAAGTAGTTTACTACCTTCACAAAACCTCATGCTCTTGATATTTGGTGTAGTATTTACCCACTCTGGAAGCCCATGCTAGCTTGCTACATCACAGTGCAAGCTAATGTTAGCAGTGCTGTTGTGCTTTCTTGAATTTGTGAGGCATACAAACCACTCGGCATTGTTTGTCGATAAACTAAGCAGGGTGGTTTGGTTAGAATGAATTTTCTTTTACATGGATAATTAATGGATGTTCGCTCGTCGCCTGAGGTTAAGTCTGCAGGTTCAATCACAGTTATGAGCGGAAAATTTTGAAAGAAATACCCCTTATAAAAGATTCTTGTTTAAATAAAAGTAAGTTTGCAATATTAAAAAGTTAGCCAGAGACGTCGTTTTTGGACAAAATTGTGAAGCTAATGTTCGTTTAATTAGCTAGCTACTGTATTACGTCAAGTTGCTGCCACCGAAGTTTTCCAAAGTAGCAGGTCTAACGAGCTCATTAGCCAACAGTTATTTTGTGAATATGTATCAAACAACTCTCACAACACATAAAAAAACATTAATCGCTACTCATCAGGTTAGTGTGGCTACATAACCGTTTATCTGGTTCAACAAGTAGAGAAACAGCTGAACGGACTAACTAACAAATGTTTGTCAACTCCAAAGAAAAGTCTATTTTATTACGTACAAACATAAGTAGACATGAAAATCTCATATTGGCGGAGGTTTTTTTTTTTTTAGGAGTGTTGCTAAAGCTTGCATTGCTAATGTAGCTGTTTCCCTTTTCTGTGGAGGAAACAGGAACAGAAATCATCTCCTTGGCGGAGGGTGTATTTTACTAAAATTTTGTCAATAATCGTAGATGCTGGGTGGTAGCACAGTGCCTGAATCCTATTAAGTGCGGCTTAACTTAAATGACACCAGCAACATCTGGACCGTCGACAAAATCAAGGGTCACCATGTAGACCTGCTCAAATGTTGATTTATTAAATTTGCTACAGTTATCATTGTAAAGTGCATATTTTCCAGAAAGAAATCCAGTCGCTCAAGCCTCAATGAACACACTCACAAGAACCAGAGAGATCTGACCATGTCTAAATGATATATCACGATTGTAAACATTGTTATGCAGGGAAAACAGATGCTGGATGAGAGCATTTATCATGGTGTAGGATATGTAAAGTAACCCTTATGTAGTATCATCTATTTTCTGCTGTAACTCCAGGTGTGTTGATATTGGAGTGGGTGTTCCAAAAAAAAAAAAAAAGAAAGAAGACATAAAAGAAAATGAAAGTGTCACTCACGAACTTCCTCTGGGCCAGACTTCTCTTTCAGTGCTTTAAGATTCAATTCACAGGTTTTTTGATCACAAAATACGCCGACATCAAGCAACATGCTGAGAAGTACAGATGTGATTTTTGTGATTTGTCTTTTGTGTGATGTCAGTTCAAGCTGCTGGTTTTTTTTTTCTTTTTTGTCCAGGAGCACTGCTGCGTAGCACAGAGGGAACATGAAAACATGCACTGATGTTCTTGCACAAACATGCTTCACCACTTCAGCACTGGAGAGGTCATATGTGGACATATCTGCACATGAATCCTTTTTCTATACACTTTTCTTTCCGCGTGGCTGCACTGAAAATGTTGACAAGCCATCCCCCCCCCCTCCATCTGAATACACCCTGCAACGCTTTTCTGGCCACAAATTGCGACAGGGTGACAATTTGCGGTGCAGCTGTGGCGCTGTGTGTTAATGCTAACTGTTTGCCGTCGCCCCTCTCGAGTAACAACCACCTGTCACAGTTGTCAAGGTGCCCAATGAGGAGAAAAACGGCTGCATTGTCATAGTCGGTGGGCAGGGGAGCTTTGGCACAGCTCATGTTTGGACATCGGGCCGGCGCTGCGTGTTATCAGGAGCAGGAGAGGCGAGGAAGAAGAGGGAGGGGAAGGGAAGGGAAGGGACACGAACTAGGAAAGGAAGGAAACGAGGAAAAAGAGGGAGGATGGTTTATAAATAACCAACGTTGCGTAACCGCCACTGCCTCTATGTGCCTGCCTCCCCTCCTCCTGGGCTTTGAAATGCCTCCAAACACACACACACACACACACACAAAGAAAAAGAGAAATCTCCAAAGTAAGTGAAGGGGATTTGAAGCAGCAGTGAAAAAAAAAAAAAAAAAAGAAGCGAGGGGGTAAAGTGAAAAGCAGCCAGCAGCCTCGGTATCTGCTGCGTCAGTGTACTAATGAATGAGCAAATATGAACCAGCTCCCAGTGCTGCAGATATGTTCCGTTTATATTCTGCATTCCAGTGTAGTATCTTTATTTACTCGTTCGACAATCACTGCATTTTCTGCCCCATATATCGCAGTTATTACAGATAAGGATCGTGCAGCTTGTATCATTTTGCCCTCTGAGGAGCGCGTAATGACTGACGGATTGCACCGTCTTTAACAATCTGTAGGAAAAAGCAGAAGTTGGTCTGGGGAAAAACAGCCTGACAAAATCATTCACTGAGAAGACATCATGTGTCATTTTACCCTCTCATTTCTGTTTGGCGCTTCGTCGGTGTGCGGAGTAAGAGCACCCTCGGAAAGCAGCGTAAATGGGGGGTTTTTCACCACGCGGTGCTACATTAGGATTCACAGACAAGGGTGTAATTAGTGGTTGCTGTCGAGTCACGGTTTGCAGACACTGAGATGCGAATGAGCATCTGTGTGCTCTGTGATTATCATGTTAAACAAATACTGCAAGAGGGACTCCGCAAACACAAGAAAACATTTTATTTATGAGATATATGCACACCAATTAGCAACAGTCTTCAGTAGGGGGTGAAGTGTGTAATGCTGATCTTTGCGTTACGTTGCATTGTTCTGCTGGAAAAAAAGGTTGGGTCCTGCCATTCATGTGGATGTCACTGTGACACTTAATGCCCACCTAAACATTATTCCAGACTAAACACAGCCTCCCCGTGGCAACAACACACCCAAATGCCAGCAGATTCCTCCAGCAAGAGAACGACCTTTCAGATTATACGACTTTGATCATAAAATATTTTGTATGAAAACGATACCTCTCCAAAACTTTAATAGGTCTGTTGACCTGTTGATGGGTGAACACATAAACCGAGGCTCTGCTTATACATATTACAACCAACTACCTCACGGTTAAAACCGATGGCGCTGTACAAAGTGGTTAAAACATACTTGACATGACACTGGAATGGAAAACCAAGATCAGGCTTAGCTCCTGAAATCACATTACAACCGCAAACTTGTGTCATATAATTTACTGAATTCATATCTTCATTTGTTTTTCCGGCCCTTTTTTTTTCAAGTCTCAATTCTCCCAATTTGAGCTTTGATTGCTGCATGAAACTAATCTTGCTGCACCAAAACTTGCTACTACATCCAGGTTGGTTTTAGTGTTGCAGTCGTCATGTTCGTCTCAAAGGACCACAGTTTGCACCACCACACCACCAAAATTGCTCATAAATGGCTCGAGGATCACGACCAAGAGCTCAAAGTGTTAACCAGGCCTCCAAAATCCCTGGATCTCAATTCCATCAAGCATCTCTGGGATGCACTGAACCAAACCCAATCCATAGAGGACACAGTCCAAAGGTTCCACTGCTAACATCTCTTTAACACTGCACCCCTACACGTCTCATGTCCATTACCTGACAAATCAGAGCTGTTTTGGTGGCACAAGGGGGTTCTACACAATATTAGGCAGGTGGTTTTAATGTTGTGGCTGACATGCATGTTCGCCCATACAAGCTTTGTGTTTGCTTTTCAAGATTAAAAACGTATTAAAACAGCGCAAGAAGGTTTGAACCTACATGTGCACACCGAAATCTGTGTCTTTACTCAATCCCGCACAGACATTAGATTCTAATCATGCGGCTCAGTGGGTCAGCAAAACACTGCAACAGCCTCAGTATGGAAATGATGACTGATTACAGTAATGATTACAGTATACAGTACACTCCAACGCCAAGCCCATAAAGTCCACACTCATCTTTTTTTTTTTCTTTCTCCTCCGTATAAGGCTTCTTTGATTGCTCATACACAGATGTGTTGTATTATTCATGCCATAACCTTCCACTATCCATACACCTCACAGCGAGAAGAATATATTTATCCCTGCACTCCAGGCTCTACTTTCTTGAACGCACACACACACACACATATATATAAATATATATATATACATGCAAACACACAAAGGAGGCGTCTAGAAATCTGCTACTTTCATGGCTTCCATAAGCACACAAAGCAGCTGCATTTCCGTTCTACACTTTTATCTCTGGGATTTTTTTTTTGGAGCTACATCAAACTGAGCCTGTCCTCTGTGGCATTTGTTTGCAGAAAAGGTGCCTAGGTAAGGGATTTCATATTTCAAAATGTATATTTCTTCTCGCCAGCACAATGACAACCTGCATAAATCCAGCAACCGAGCAAATAAATGGCTAAAAAGGACTGGGTGGACTTTTTCAGCATTTGGGTCGCGGTGTGCAAATAAGCGACGAGGAGGGTGGATCTTCTGAAACGACCTTCTTTGAATCATTTTCCTCGAGCGTTACAGCCGACACCCTTAGTTTGCTGTGGAGCTCGTGTAAGCGTGTAGAGCTTCTGCACCGTCACCTGCTGTGTAGTTCATTGCTGCTAAAGGGCAACAGCTTCACATGAAGTCACGAGCAAAATTAAAACCATAACTCAGCTCGTGCCGCAATGTTTATGAGCATGTTGAAGGATGAGTTCAGCTCCTGAGGAAAACACATTCATACGTTATCCCTTCCTGTCCCATACGTTTTTCTAATTCATCTCTCTGTGTGCTTTTTAAAAACATTTTTATCTTCCTCCTCCTCCCTCTCTGTCATCTCTACATGTATGTATGCTTTGTCATAAGCCATATCTATTACCACATGCAATCATCCCTATCCTTTCCATCATCTTTCCTGCCCACCTTTAATCTCCTCCCTCATCTCTTCTTACATAAAAGTTTTTATTGTTCTCTTCCTTCTGCCACCTCTGATTTTTTACCGTTTCCTGCCCCTTCTTGTTTATACCCACAGCCAGCGCTACTGCATGTGTAACCCCGACGTGGTGCAGCAGTTCCACAATCCGGACACCATCTTCATCCTGGCCTTCGCCATCATTCTGCTCAACACAGACATGTACAGCCCCAACATCAAGCCCGACCGCAAGATGTTGTTGGAGGACTTCATACGCAACCTACGAGGTAAGCAGCACAGCTTTGCTTGCATGTAAAGAGGCACATGAACCCTCTGAACTCCAGGCAGTTTCTGCACTTTTTTCACTCACTGTGGGCTCATTTTTCACTGGAATATGAAGTCCTGCACCAGTATGGAAACAGCACAACCATGAGTAGAAGTGGAGTAGACGAATATGGTTCGTGTGCAGTGTGACAAAGTTGTAATTCTGTAAATAATAATAAAAGAAAATATGAATAATAAGAGTTAACACGTACTGCATTTTTCTCGGTGCCCACATGTTTTACCAATACTGGGGAATAATGGTGCCTCCATTCACTCTGCATAAACACAGTGTGCAGTTTGCCAAAGTTCCTGAATTTGTGTCACTTTTTTAAATTTTTGTCTTCACAGTGCAACATTTATCAAATGGAACATGTAAAATAAAGACATAAGCTTAAGACTTGACAAGAGAGGAGTAGTTTAAGTACCGTCAGAAAGTTGCTAACTCAACAACTGAGCCATCTGAGAAGGGTCGAGGTGGTTTTCTTGTTGGTTCACACTGTGAGCATCCATCCCACAGAAGTGTCTTTAAAACAAAAATCTTTTCAGTTGCTCTGTGTCCGAACCCAACATGTTTACCTCCATGACATGGACAAAGAATTTATATCAGGGTAGATGAGAAAAATCAATAACAGGAGGTACAAAGGTTTGCTCTGTCCAGCACGATACATTACCCGACATTCTCGTTGTTTGTGTCATGTTAGACATTCAAATTGACTTCTGAGGCTTCGGAGGAGTTATGCTATGTAATTAATCAGACACAACATAATGAAATACAATGCAACAGAGGGGACGAAAATTGAAAGACATAGAAAACATCCCATAATTAGACTGTAGTTTATGGCTTTCAATTTCATTTTACTGTATGACACAAGATGTAAAAAAAAAAAAAACAGTCACCAGCTGCTGTTATATATTGTTTGTGACTGACTGTCAAAAGGTTCTGTTTGAGTTAGAGAGGAATGTTTTGTGACTGTTTTCCATCAGATTGAATGTTACAAAATGAGATAGGATCAGAAATACTCGTAAATCCTCCCCAAATTCCTCTCCCTCCTTAATAACTTCTGTTGGGGGAACAAGGCAGCAGATCCCCAGATGAATCAGTAGAAGTCAGCGTCCGACCGTTTTTTGGATCCGCCATCAATCAAAGCTCCCCGCATAAATTTCGGAGATAAAGATAAGGTTCTGTTTCTTCCCCCCTCGCCCGCCTTCTTGCTTTACACGTTCACTCGCAGCGACACAGACGGAAAGCACCTGTAAATCTTGTCTCCAATATGCAGACAGATGCTCACTCGCCGAGCGTCGAGGAAGAGACAAGAGCGTTGTAGTTCTGCTCTCCCTCTGCGCAATCAATCTGGGACCGCTGAGGTCGATGCAGAACAACTTTAATAGATTCATCCAGACTGTTCCTCACAATTAAATTAAGTTGGAAAATCAATTTCGGCATCTTATGCAAATTAAAATGTGCCACTCTCTCTTGGCCTCTCTATTTGTCTTCTGCTCAGTTTTTTTTTCCTCTATCCATTCTCTTATCTTGTTTTGTTTCAGTCAGAATATTCGGCTGTCTGTTTATTCATCCGCTTTATATTCTGTTTCTCTCTCCCCCTCTTTTCTCGCTCGTCTCACGCTCTGACAGAAGAATAGTTCGCTCTACTAATTGGCTAAGGTGAAATGCAATTATGCACCAGAAACCAATAGTAATGAAGAACCAAAGAACATTCATTATCTCAATTAAAACAGACCGTCAGTGTCAAAGCTATCCCCCAGTGGGGCAACATAATATAAACCCCGCTTCTGCCATAAATGAATCCACAATGCCAGCTCACTGAAGAACTGCACCGTCTTAGTTATTGGATACTTTATTTGTAATTTAGAGAGGAGGGCTTCAGCAATTTCACTTCTCTTTTTAAACTCTTATAGTGGGCCGGCGCTCATCAATAGAGCTCGTGAGCAGCCGGCTTTAAAGTCGGAGATGATGAGAACAAGAGGAGACAGAATTGATGCGTGGTTCAAGCTGCAGGGGGAAATGTGGGTAAAAGGCAAAGCGAGTTGATTTGCGGAGCGCGTTTCACAATTCAATTCAAAGTAGTTTGCATACAGTATACAAGAGAAGTGCGTGTGCAATATTACTTCAATGTTAAATGTATGATTTCACAGTAATTTCATCACTTCTAATTTGAACAGTGGAGTATTTGCTCTTGTGTAGAATAAAAAAACTATTTGGATTGTATGAAAAACACTGAACCCACAGTAGAAACTAAATGCAGCTAAAATCAATACACTTTTAAAGATGCAAATCATTTAATTTACTTTCAGTACTTTGTGCGTCCACTGTTATTTCTGACACACTCAATCCCGCTTAGCATTAAAAAATAATAAAAAACATGTTGCAGAAATTTCTGGAAAGAAGTCCTGCTATTCTTCAGAGATTTTTTGTTATTCTGCTCTTAGCTGGAGGGGGTTGTGTTGCTCTGTCTTTCTTCTTAAAATACCCCAAAGGTGTTCTATTGGATTCCAGTCAGGCAACATGCTCGGCCAGGTCGTAGTATTGATGTGCGATTTTGGCAGTGTGCTTTGGATCATTATCATTCAGCAATATTCCTCTTCTGTCAAGCTTCTGCAGACTGGGATCAGCCAGTATTTTTGGTATATCCACAGGCATTTATTGAAAATTTCATCTCCCCAACACCTTTTGCACTCCTGCATCCCCCATATCATCCCATTCCCACCGCTGTGCTTCACTGTCAGGACTATGCATTGACTGCGTCCTGGTCAGGGTCACGATAAACATGCTGGATTTATCTTGGTCTCATCTGACCAAAGAATCTAATATTTGTAAGGCTTCTTGTTGTGTTACGTAAAGTTTAATCTTTCAGTTTTCTCTTAAAGAGCAAGCAGGATGTTCTTCTGTTCATAGAGGTTGATGTTGTACTTTGTTCTTCACACTGCCTGAGCTGTCCCAGAAACTGATTTCCACTGATAATCCCTGTGCCCTGTACTTGTCCATGTGTTTTTCAAAGCTAGATTGTACAAGTATCACACTGTCTGTGCTGCCATTTGAGGAGGACCACCACTGCAGCTCTGATTATTGGCACTGGCTTGTTCTATACCTCATGATTTATGACGCAACTGAGTTCCAACAGATTTTTAATTGGTCTTCCAGTATTCTTTTCCATCTTTGTGAAGCCTCATAATCAGATTTGTACACTAGATAGAACAAGGCAAAGAGTCTACAGTTAAGTTCGCAGCTCGATGCTTTAACTAATCTTATGTCGATGACTGGTAAGAAGGTATAGCATTTATACTGTTCACCATCTTGGTTTTTTAGCATGCTAACATTAGTGCTAAACGCAAAGCACAGTTGTTACATGTCCTCTTGGTAGTGATGCTACGTAAAAAAAAAAAAAAAAAGATAGTTAAACAGGAAGGAAAATTTTAAGTCTGAACTAATTTCAACCAACCCATTGGATAGTTGTTGAGACATTTTACTGCAAACCACCAATTTAAACCTTTTGGGGGCACTAGAGGAAAATAATTTCTTACATGAGGACTATTTGTAACAAAACATCTATTCAGTAGTTACATCTAGTTTTACGTTTTCCTATAAGCAAAAGTCAATAGCATTCATTCTCCGTGGATCGTGGGTACCAAAGTGGTGGACCAGTTGACATTGCCATGCGTAGAGCCGTGTCACTACCATGGCTAAAAAAAGCAATGAAGTCGTGAGCTGGCTGGAAAAGAGAGAGAGAGAGAAAAAAAAGAGACACTCAGCAACAAAAATGCAACTTATTAATGTGACACTTTACACACATTTCCCTCTGGTCATCTCCTCCTCTCCCTGCGACTCGGTAATGTGCAGTGATGTCTCGGCGGTGTCCCACGGTGCCTCGCTGACACCGCCATCGCTTGACGCAGCTTCATTTTCTCCAAACACATCCTGCCCCATTGAAAACTCAATGTACCACACAGCGCCGTACAGCTGTGCCGGTATAATGGGGTGCATCTGGAGGGTAACCTTTCAGCCTAATGACATGCAGCTTTACCTGCGCCAAAATGCCACGGCCTTGAACTGCAACGCGCTCCAGACGGGAAATCTTCCACGAGCGAGGCGGGATCTTAACCTTTCCTTTGCCAATTAACCTCCTCTCACATTTCCTTCAGTCATTATTTAATAGAGACAGTGAAAGACAGAAAGTCAAAGAAGGACACATGAGGAGTCAGAGAAGTAGCCTCTCTGGTGCTCTGAATATGGATTTTTTTTTCCTACTCTAAGAAGCAAGACAAATGTATGTAGCATTGTATATATGGACACACAAATCTTTTTTTTGTGTATTTGCATGTTTGTGTGCGTCTCCTCCTGTTGCATGTTGCTGTATTTAGGCCAGAGCAGACACACTTTGGTCCCTCCACCACTGTTAAAACAGCTGTCACTCCATATTCCTCCAGATGGACAGGGCTGTCTGGTGGAATTTAAAGCAACCACCCTGTGATGTGTGAGTAATCAGCCTATTCCTGTCTTAGGTGTGGATGATGGCGCAGACATCCCCAGAGACATGGTGGTGGGAATCTACGAAAGAATACAACAGAGAGAGTTGCGCTCCAACGAAGACCACGTCACCTACGTGTCCAAGGTTGAACAGTCCATCGTAGGCATGAAAACAGTAAGGACGCACGCCAAATATCCTCTTTAAAGATACTGTGGATTCAGTTTTCATGTAATTGTTACAAAAATCACGCACTGAGTTTTGTACACTGACAAAAAGAATGAACGTGATCACACAGACACGTACACTTTTCAGAAGTCCATGCCAAGTCACTCCCTCATTACTCAGGCCTTTATCAGTATCACCTAGCCTTGGTAGCGTTAGTGGAGCACATTTATTACCCATTAAATGTCTCATCAGCAGCTCAATCATTATCTCAGGTCATTACTCCAGCTAGATACATCATTAACTACTGCCATCATTAGACTTCTTTTTTTTTTTTTTTTTTTTAAAGCAGTTTAAGGTTAAAAGACTTCAATGTAGAATTGATGCACATGAGGAGCAAAATGTGTTTGGGCTCAACAGTGGAGTTTCTTTAGCTGAAGGTTTCATATTGATTTTGAATTTTGAATTTCCCTTCTGAATTGAATTTCCCTTCTGGGATAAATAAAGTATTTTTCATTTCATTTCATATTGTATCATTTTTCAGCACATATTCCAAATGAAAGTCTCCAGAATGTGTCTTGCACAGCGACTGCATAACTCCTGGTTTTAGACCTGTTCTAGCAGGCTTTGAATATATCTGAGCTGCTGCTGTCTACGCCCCCTTCAGGAAGGAGACTCTCTCTGCGAATGAGTGTGTGGCTTTGTATTGCTTTTAAGTTTCTCTCTGAGTGACCATTTCACATGAATAATTTGCTGAATTCACATCACAGCTGTGGCACTTAGTTGTGTAGAGTAAATTTGTCAGACAGTGTTGCGTTTATAAAAATCTGTACTTTAGTGATGCTGCACATTAACGTGCTGCTTATCAGTCACTTTTTCCACACTCAATCATTGTCTGACAGCAAAAACACAAAAAAATATGCAAATGAGAACAGCTTAATTGGGAATTTGGCTGCATTAAAATGCAATATTTACAAGCACAGAGAGCAAGAGAGAAGCCAACAGATGTAAACACTGGCTATTCTTGCAGTTTAATCGTAGCCACTGGACTTGCTTGAGTTTCTTCAAGACGTTTCACCTCTCATCCAAGAGGTTTCAATAGTTCTGACTGACTAGGCAGGTGTTCCAGATGCTTCTATCCTTAAAGAAGCCATTAACCCTTGAGTTTCGGTTTCAATTGCTCCTCCCCCTTATTATGCGAGTCGTTAGTGCTCCCCCTGCCACAATGGGGTTCGTTAAGGTCTTTTGTGGCTAGGTTTAAATCTCAGCATTGATGAAGCACCTGGATGACTGAGAATCTTCATAAACACTGGCTGACTTTAGATCAAATCAAAGCACAACAGGCTAAATAAACATACTAATTCACATCCAGTTCTTTTTATTGGCTTCCAGTTTGTCTCAAAGTTTTTCCCGTTTATCAATGTCACTCAGATGCCTGAGACATTTTAGAGTGAGTAGAAGCAGTTCTGCAAAGTCAATAAACGTAGAGGATGGTGAGGCAGCAGCTTTCTCGGAGTGGCTTCACCTGAAAGCAGCAAGCAGTGAGAGGGAAGGATTATGCAAATTTTCAGTTATTGGTTGCTCAGTTTCTACTTAAAAAATGGATGAAATTCTGCCTGGCTTGTACAGCTGGTTGACTTCCTCATATTCTGACAGCTTTTATTTCACACCTCCAAGTTTTTAAAACACACAGAACACAATGAAAATGAATTTTTAACAAATGTGACCTTAAAATGTCAACGTCTGACACGGAAACATTCACGTACTGCTTTGTTACAACTGTGGTAATGCTTTCTGTGCAAAGTTTTTTGTGTTTCAGACTGGACACATTTGAGACAGACACAGAGGCAGAAGTATTTAGCTTTATAATTGACTGATTACACTGATTCATGTGGGAATGTACTGTGTGTGCCCACTCGCAACACTGAAAGGCTTTTTGAAATGTTTGTACAGTTCAGGGAATTCTTTTTTAATCTTATCAGTGCAAAAGGCCTCCCAATCCTTTATTTATGAAATATAGATAAAATATGCAGAGTTTTTTTTTTCCCCCTCACAGACTCTTTGCTATTCAACATCACAAAATATATTGCATCCAAATACAAGAGCCAATTTGAAACATTCCAGCAAAATTGCATTCAGGACCAGACAGATCCATTAAAACAGAATTGTAGAAATAACATCAGAAGTGGTTTGAGGTTTTCAGTCAGTGTGTTCAGGGACAGAAACACTGGTCAATTTAATCAGTCCATTACTGTGGGCCAGACTATAATATTTCTGAACCCACTGACATGAAAAACTGGCATGTTTGCCACCAACGGCAAACTTTTAGGTTACTAAAGGGTTTTGAACTACTGTTTGGCACTGCTGGCCAACACTGACCAACTTGTGACAACATTTTTGGGCAAATTAACATCTTTACTGCAAATCAACCATACATTTTCCACAAAGCTGATTATCTTTGTAACTGCTAATCCAGATATTTGTGGTCTCCAGTGAAAATAGTTGGCAGTGTAACTCAAAAGCCACAGAACAGCCATCCGGGCCTTAATTGAAGTAAGGCAGAATTGCAGAGCATTCAGATTGTCGTGATTTTCACGGCTAAATTAGACATACAACTGGGAGTCATCAGCGTAGAAGTGGTAAGAAACAGCTGTGAAATGGTGAATAACAAGGCCAAGGGGCAACAGATGTAAACTAAACAAAATAAGGCCTAGGATTGATCCCTGTGGGACCCCACATGACATGAGAGCAGAACTTTAAATACTCTAATAAGGAGAATGAAAACCAGCTCAAAGACCTCGTACCTAAGCCAACCCACTTCCGAAGTTTGTTGATGAGAGTCCAGATCCATTAGGATATCACTGATTACTCTCAGCAGGGCTGTTTCTGTAAGATGATGAATACTGTCAACAGTGAACCAGCTAAACATAAACATCATCTTAATGTAATTGTCACTGCTGACTCTTACCATCCCGTCATATAAACAAAAAATAAATGATTTCACGTTTTAATTAATTTCAACTCTAGTCTCCGTTACATCTTGTTAACTCCCCAAATGACATTGACACTGTGACATTGAGAGGATTTCTCCCACCATTATCTTTGGCTTGTGCCTTTAAGTGTCTCTCAGTGATAGATGAGTAGCTACAGGATGACAGAAGGAGTGCTGTCATAGCCAAAACAATGATGGATTGTTGTGACGGGAAGTGACTATTCCTGCCAATGGGAGCTGTCTGCCATAAAAAGAAAGAGACTTAGATAAACTTTCTTTCTTAGAAATGATATCCCAGCAGGTGCCTGAGTGCCTCTGTTGTGGATTATAAATGTATTATCTATTACCTAAGAAGAAGTATGACACTTGAGATTATTTCCTGTATAAATATTTGATGACTTGTAGGTTGTTAAAATACACATTTTGCGTATGATCCAGATGTTTTCTCACTTCAACACTGTTAACATTTCTATAACTACTTGCCAAGACTAACATTTGTGGAATCTTGTTTATACATTGGTAAACTCCTGTCAAACTGTTCGTCTGTAAAAATCCCGCCAGTGCAGCTTTCTGCTTGTTTTTCGTATTTCAAGCTAATGATGCCTTTGCATGTTTGTGACATTAGTGTAATGAGGAAGCAGGCTGGGCTGGAGTCTGTATACCCTGCAGTGGTGAGAGAAGAGCGAGCAGAGAGAGAAACAGACGGCGGCTGTGTGCATTGCAAATCGTTCGCACGGAGCAGAGGGAAGAAAAATTGGAAAACGCGCATACAGAAAACTGAAAAGGAGGCTGCGTCTATTTGTATTTTACCCCCAAAGAGAGATCAATTCCACATCTACCGACAGCCCATCCAACTGCTGTTCGAATTTCTGCAGCGATCGAACACGGAAAGCTGAACGAGACAAGAGTGTGAAGGGGTGACAACACGATTAGATCACTCTCCGAAGGCATGAGCCATTTTTGCAGTGTAATCTGCTTAAACTCGGAAAAGCACTTAAGTCCTAGAGGAGAAGCCAGGCCTCTGCAGCATTTTGTTAAAAAAATATATAAAATCTAAAATCTTTACATTAGCCCTCAAAGCGCAATGCATTGCTGCCACCATCACCTTTGCTAATCCAGTTTGGCCTTGTGTGGGAGCCTGTGACTAAACAGCAAGATGGATGTGGCGAAAAAACTATAACGGGATTTGGCAACAACTCATAAAAGTTTTGTATGAGTGACCTGTGGCAGAACATCCCTTTTAGAGGACTACTACGGTTACTAGAAGCAAGCAGGACAAGCCTCAATGCTGGAGCTGCACAAGTCACAGTAGGGCTTAGCATCTAAATCATGTGCTCAAAACAGGGAGCATACAATAACTTATATTAAGTAAACTTTAAATGCTTCCTTCTGTTTCCCTCCTCTTCAAGAAATCCCATTTTTTTAAATCTGCAACTACAGTCAAAAGACTTTAGATGCAAAGATGGAAACTTGCCCTCATACACACAATACAATGCAAAAACTTGCAAACATTTAATTTTATTCCTTTATAAAACTGAGGTTTTCTTTGTCACATTAAATCAAGTTGATATGTTACTTGCTCTGAAATGTAAAGGAAAACCCTCAAACTTAACATAGACACTTCCCGGAAATATAAACCTGTATTTGTTATCATGTTCTCCTCAATATTTATCAAAATTTTCTCAAAAAGGTAAGTAGCAGGTGTTGCTCAAATTAACATTTTAAAGCTCTCTTAAGTCAGCATTGATGTCAGTAATTTGTCACAGCTTACTCTGTTTATTGGATTGTTTACCCCCCAATGCACCAGCATCTGTTACCTTTTAGCCTCAGAAATTTGTCTTTAAAAAGGTCCCATATCATGAAAATCCATGTCTGTTGTGTTTTGCGGTTGTTAGAAACTTGGAGGTTTAACGTAAAAGCTGTTAAGATATAAAAGATGTTCACGTCTGCCATTCCTCAAGACCCCCACAACTCGATAGCCTCCCAGCTTTACGAGCCAGTAAAACTTTTTACTGAACTGCTATGTTTCAACTGAGGAACCAGTTGTCACTTAGCTCCAACTTTGTATCGCCCTGCCTCCTCACTGCCCGCTGCTTCCAGGTTAACCACTAAGAAAGAGCAGCTGCATCATAATGTACTATGTTTGTTTGCTTTCAAGAGCTGCTTTTGCTAACTGTAAAATGTCTTAGCAATCAACAAAACACACCAAATGTTCCGCTGTTGGCTGCAAGAGTGAACACAAGAATCTTCATGCACTCCCAGCATCTGAGGAACTGAATATCTAGTGGGTTGCTTTATTATTGACACCACAACAACATCCTTTGGGTTCGGGCGTCAGGTAAAGTGGCTTTTTGCCAGTATTAGTTTATAGCGTATGTCCACAGGTCAGAGTTTTGTGGAAGCTGTAACGCTGAGGGATAATCAGTGATGGCTGGAGCTGTCATAGTGAATAAAACCAATAAACAGGGACTGGATGGGTGCTTATGTCACATTCAACCTTGTTTACTTCTCCCCTGCTCTCTGCTCTCACATTTTCTGCATTTTAATTCAGCCCAATTTCCAAAAAGCTGTTCACATTTACATATTATTCTGCTTCTGTTGTCAGACAACAAAACAAGGGTGGAATAGTGGCTAAAAAAGCAGCCCATTTAGACTAAGTATCCACCAGCAGTCACACTTTAGACTTTTACCTATCCAAAGATGTCGCCTCCCATCCGAAGGTGTCGCCCTGATTGCAGTGGATGGGCTTGTGTGGCCTGATGATCCCCAGAGCTATATCAGGAAGGTTCAACTATGCTGGGCAGGTCAGGGGTGAAGGTCCAGACTAGATGACATTGACATCCCCACCTATGTGTCAAATGGGTTTGTGTAGGGCTAACAACCCTACCTGTAAAAAAGACAGGTTACAGGAGCATTGACGACAACCAACCACATCCACCTGGGCAAGGAAGGGTCTCCATCCCAGAGACACATGACGTGAAAGCCAAAAGGAAGCTGCGAGGCTGACTCCCCATCTGACACCCAGGACAACAACAAGAGTAGCCACATGGAACATCAGGACAATGTATGAAGGTCGTCGATGGCCTATGCTCCATGGGGGCAATGGGCTAAAGATGTCACACTGCACTGCTAAACTGCTGATTTTATAAACGCAAAATTGTTTGGCAAACTCGCCATACATGTGAGTTAAAGAACAGGACTAAAACCAGGAGTTATACAGTCGTGGGGAAATGAACCATCTTTACAGTGTTTTGAGCTGAAAAATTGAAAGACGCATGGGAACATGTGAGACTTCCATTACAACTTTAAGGCCTCCCAGTTTGCATGTTTTCTCTGCTTTTGCTTGGGGATTTTCTTCATCTGGTCTTTTTAATTATACTGAAGCCTCTCAGGAGTAATATACTCGGAATGATTTAATTTGTAACTCTTCTTGGATGTCTGTTCCTTCGTCTTCAGGTTCTTTCCGTCCCTCACAGAAGACTAGTGTGCTGTAGTCGACTTTTTGAGGTGACAGATGTCAACAAGGCCCAAAAACAGGCAGCACACCAGAGAGAAGTCTTCCTCTTCAACGATCTCATTGTGGTAAGCCTTCTACCGTCATTAAATTGACTATCGTAATGAGAGATTCGGTGTAACAATTCGTACTCGTCTTTGTTGTATTCGTGTTTACAGTGCCTTTTAAACCACCCTCAAATGGTTGTTTGTGCTGCACACTGTCAAGCTTTAAAGCTGCTTATTTTGTTGTGACAGCTGCAATGCACCATCACCTACTTCGACTGTGAGCCATTTCTCAAGGCTCCTCTTTTATGTTGTTTCATAACTCAGGCCTCTCCAGCCAGTGTTTTTTTTTAATAGGAGATAGTCGCAAATGCAGCATTGCAGTGCATCCATAAGCATAGATCTGTCCCCAACAGAGCAGCTTTAAAGGTCAGTGATAAAGTTGTGTTTCGCTTCAGCCACAGAACAGATAAGATAGAAAGTTGTGTAGACTGGGGAATTACAACAGGTTTCATGTTGGACATGATTAAAGTTCTCATTTGGTGCCACATGGGGGTTACCTGTCCAAAGTACTGCTTTAAATACTCTCATGATTATGTCAAATGTCAAGTGTTGTTCTCAATCCTCACAGCAAACAAAACAGGGCAGCCATTTTTTCCTCCTGTTTTTCCAAAGCATTGAAAGTAATTGGTCGCTGCAGGAAAGGAGGTTAAAGGGCCGATTTGAAGATAAGTCATCTTCCATTATCACAGTGCGATATTGTTCATTTGGCTCCAAAAGTTAGCGGTGCGTCATATTCCAGAGGGACGCATCTCTCCTGACAGCTTTGAAAGTGGGGCCGGAAATTGTCTTTGAAAAATTTTAACTGCGGAATAAAAACGACGGGGACTTTTCTTTGAATTTGGCCTCTGTTCTATCAGCTTGAACGCGTCAAGAAGTGTTTAAAGCGCCAAAGTGATGTATTGGCTTAATACGCCTTGCCTGGCAAATTATGCCCCACAGTCGCTCTGCAAAACAGATTTGCCTCATCTTTCTCTATCTGGAAGGTCATTCAGTAAAAAAAAGCTCCATAACAGCTCGAATACATCCTGATATAAGCTCGCCAAGGTGTTGTTTTTTCATACAAATTAGAGCGCCGGCGCACAATCTGAAACACTTTGAAGGTTGTAGTGTACATTAATATTGACTATCCGCTCTTGGAATGTATTTTAAATTGTCAAATAGTTTGTTCCCTCTGAGTTCTCTTTGAGGTTCTTCTGTGGCATGAAAATCTCCGTGACAATCGACAAGATTTATAAAGTCTCGAGAACACGGAACAAATTGATTTAAGGGGGCGCTCCTGTCATTCGCTACTGTAACTCTGGTTTTGCGGTTTTATTTCCGCAGATCCTGAAGCTTTGTCCAAAGAAGAAGAGTTCTGCAGCCTACACTTTCTGCAAAGCCATGGGCCTACTTGGCATGCAGTTCCACCTTTTTGAGAATGAATGTAAGTCACAGTGTCTTTACTGTAAACTGCTGGAATGAAAAAAATCACCACATCTTATGTCATAATCAGACTTCCGTATCTTATTGCTTAGTTTCGTTCCTGCAAAATTGTGTGATCTTTCAAGAAATTCTCCAAAATACGAGTTTGTACTTCAAACCGACCCCTAGAATCCTTTTTTATACTCTTCATACCTGAACACCCGGTAATATCTTGCTAATGCAGCTTATATTTTCTTTTCACTTGCGGCTCATCGGCTTAATGTCCTCCCTGCTCCACAGACTACCCTCATGGAATCACCATCCTCTCCCCGTTTGGCTCAGACAAGAAGCAGGTCCTCAACTTCTGCGCCCAAAGTGCTGAGGAGCTGCTCAAGTTCGTAGAAGACCTGAAGGAGTCGATCGCGGAGGTGTCGGAGATGGAGCAGATACGTATCGAGTGTGAGTAAAAACAATAATAATAAAAAAACATTGATAAACTCTTTACAACATGTTCTCATTTAGTGCTCATCATTAGCCACGTCTTTGAGGACACCTTCTACGGTCTTCTTTAATAAAGCAGGCTGGGAGTGTGAACCCGGTGCTACCAAATGTAGATTATAGGGTGTCAGATTCTATATTGTTGGATGTTTAGGGTATGTGTGACCGAAAGAAAGCCAAAAGACTCTGCATATACTTTAGATTTAGTTGTTACTCCTTGAAATGGTGTCAAGGTCTTCACTGTGGGTCAATCATCACATTTTTAGAAATATTTCTGCTTGACCGTCTCTGATTTGCCTGGAATTTTTATAGCATAAATAGTGGATATCAATAAAGATATCTGTGATATTTTAGACTGATATATTCATCACTTTCTGAGATTTCTTTGGTTTTCTGTTGACCCACTTTCAGTCTGAAATTTGGGACTCTGTTTCAACAACAATATGTCAGGAACTGTTGAAGATAAACTCCTGAAATAGACACTGACATTTCTCATTGATTCAGATTCTGCAATATTGGACAAGTAGATCCAATAATCTCTTGTCATGGATGAATTGAATTATCAAAAAGAAGAGAACAAAAAACAAACAAACGTTGAAATGGTCATGAAAAGTCCCATCTTTACGTTAAAACATTTATATTGCAGAAGTCAAATATTGATATTTTATTAACCATATGTGGTTGAATGTCAAATGAGATAAAACAAAACAGAGAATGCTTTTTATTATGAAAACTTGGTCATCAAAAAAGAATTTATTTTTGCTGAGCATAACCGACTGAGCAGGTACGAGAAGCTGTACCACAAAAACAAAAGATATTGCTCGATAGGCTGATCCAAGTTCTAGAGTTTCAAAATGGTTTATTTCCACCCATGCAACAAAAGAAGGGTCAACACCCTATTGCATTTGGCACCAAATCAATAAGCTCATATCTTGGAGAGTTTTCTGGATTCGTCACTACTCTGAGTGAGAATCAGAAGATCCTCAGATCAGAGTCTGAAATCATCTCCTTGATCTTCACCATCATCATCATCTTATGTGTAAACTTGCAGTTGGCGTTCCATCTGTGTGTCACACAAACTGATGTTGTCTTTTGTGTCTTTTGGTGCACTGCAGCTCCAACAGACTGCAGGAGGCCAGTAAAGTGGAGGTGAAAATAGGCCAGTGTTCCTCAAAGCGGCCAGGCGTCTGACTTGTTTGGGCTTGTGTGCATACGATATTCTCTCGGCATTCAGACTTACGCTTGCATGTGCTTAGACACACATGGAATAGTATCTGGAGCCCGGCTCCTGCCAGTGGGCATCAAAGAGAGCATCCCTGCTGGGATTCGATGCAACTGCCTCACCCTTCACAGAGAGGGAGGGCCTGCAGAGGCAACAAAATATGGAGACAGCCAGGGCTTGACAAAAGGAAGTTATTTCTCTCTGTACAGCTGTGCAAAGGATAGACATTCACCTCGCATGAAAACACACAAAAACCAATGCACACGTGTGAATAAGAATGAAAGTCAGGGTGCGTTTATTATATTCGCAAAGACAACAAACATTTTCTGATGTGCAAGATGAACATTTTTAAAATGTGGAACAAGAAAGAGCTGGCACCTGCAGACAAACACCACATCTTTCCTCCTCGGAGGGCTTCGTTTTGTTAGCACATCAGTAAACAGGCCCGCGGCAAACTCACTTATGTTTGGGCTTCCTCTCTTTGAAATGGGAAATAGTTCATTTATGTGGAGATGGATCTTTCCAGCACATGGCTGTATTTAATGAGGAAAATTTATGATGGAATTGATTATCCGCATTCAACTTCCAACTCTCTCTTTACCAGCAGAGAAAGTAACAATTCATAGAGTTCACTGTTGATGTTTTCTTCTCTACAGTCAATATGTCAGTGATTACTGTCGTCTGTAGGCCTGATTTTAATCATGAAGGATTTCCCTGTTAGGCATATAATATATTAACCCTCTTAACCCCAACATCCATGTTTAAATGGCATGCAGTCTTTTAAAACATCATGAAACTGACTGCATTTATCAGAGCCAGAAACACAGCAGATTTTTAACTTTCCGTGTGTGACTGATCTGTGATGTGATGCTTTGTTGGAAAGTTTAACCAAATCTAAGCCTAACGTATTTCATCGAAGTCACTTTATTCTACATGTCGTACTTAAATTTTCACCAAAAATAAAGCATTTGGAACAACTACATTCTGTTAAAAACGAAAAATATTCCAGTGCTTGGCGCAACTATTAAGCCATTAGCGACTCTTCTGCGACCAACAGTAATTCAGCAACAATTCTGGCACTTTTTTTTTTTTAACTGGGTTGAACTGTGGGTTGTGTACACACAGAGCAGATGTAATATGAAAGTAATTAAAATTGGAAGCAGTATAATTTCTAAAGTCTGTAAAGTCACCTTTTTTTCTCTCTTTTTTTTAAAATCAGCATCTACAAAAACCCACAGGTGTTGGAACTTGTAAAAAAGTGTTGTATTATGTAATTTAATTATATATAAAAATGGAATTTTTTAAAACTTTTCAAACCTCAGCAAATATTGTTGATATAGTTTATGACTGGATACTCAATTCTTCATATATGTTGATTTTCTGAAACTAACAGTGGTTTTATTAATTAGTGCCAAAACACAGAATTATAACGTCTCAGCAAATTATCGGGAAAATATAAAGAAATCGAGACGTGTAAAATAAAGTTACCCTGAAACATTTACAGAACAGTTTCACCTTCAGTTTCATCTCATCTTTTCTTTCAAACTACAAAACAGGACGTTTTCCTTTTAGTTCCTCTCAGATTTGCAGGATGCAGATTTGAAGGACACGCTGTTCCGCACCCTTAAAGTCTCACCTGGCAGCTCGGTATTTCAGCATCAGAATTAGAATGCAGTGTGGTGTTGGAGACAAAACAACATTTAGTCATCGTGATTGGAAATGACATGCAATTACCATCAAGTGTGAAGTTTAATTAGAGAGATGGAGAGTCATGTTTTGAGCTTGGAGAGGAGAGTGGGAGGCAGCGTGTGTGGGTTATGTGCACACACACACACTTCTGATGGAGAGAAACATGCCGCTTAATGCTGTCGCTCTTACCCGCCGCCATCCACCAGTTTTATCTGCTTCTCTTTGCTCGCTGTCACGGTGATTATGAGGATGATCATTTTTGTTTTCTGTTCTCGGCAGGGGAGCTGGAGAAGCAGCAGGGGGCCAAGACGCACTCGGTAAAGAACAACGGCACACAGCTCGAGCTGCGCGGCAAGCAGGGCTCCCCATCAGGTGTGTGAGCGCTGCTGCTTCTTAAAAACCCCAGTGCAGAGAACCCCGTCCCGCTGCTGTTTTTATGAATTGATCGACTGCAAAAAGGACAACATTCATATTTGTAAGAAGGAAGGTGCTGCCTGCGGAGTTTTATCTAAAGCATTGGATTATTTCAGGTTTGTGTTGGTGCACTTTTCGTTAAGCGGCGCCTCCTTTCATTAGTAGGCCTGCGAAGCTTTCACTTTGTCATAGATGATTTGTCATTCAAAATCTATCCTCATTTTTTTAAAACAATGTGTTCCTGATTTCGCAGAGGTGAATAAAAGCAGGCTTCTCATTTCAACTGTAACTAGTAGATTTTAATGTTTGCTTAGGTTACTACTAGTTGGCTAGAAACTGTCTCCATTTTAAATAAAGGAACATGTAAATAGGTTCTAAATGTGCACTTGCTAAAAAAAAAAATCAAGCTGGATTCTTTGAGCTCATTTCTTATTTGAAAACAATAACAACAAAAATTACACAATCCGTCATACTGTCTCCACTGGATTATGGATCATGTGCTCATGTTGCTGCCTCGGTCCTGAAGCCGCTATAGGCTGCCTGCCACGGTGCTGTTTGATTCACTGCATAGACAGCCATCCAGCTCATCACTGGGAGTTATGTATAGAAGATTGGATGATCTTCTAGAGGGCATCTGCACACATACGTGATAATTAACATCTGTAGCTGATCCTGAACATCAGAGGACAGGAATGCTCATCAGACCAACTCAGAGCTGGGGACTTCTACCAGTAATTGATTAAACCTCTTAATACTCATCTACATGTATGAAAGTTCCAGATTTAGAATTTTTTCCCCTTTAAAATAACGGTCTTAAAATGACTTAGACTCTAAACTCTAAACTGTTGCTTCTTCTATAATATACAGATCTATCAAGTCCCCTCAAAGCAACTCTGGGCTTCACATTGGCAGGTTGTAATTCAGCTACACATATTCAAACCACAAATTGATTCTGACCAAGAATAATGATACAGAAAGTCCCACCCTGCAGGTTGACAGGATTGGTTTCTCAGGTTTGATATCCCAGGAAGTCTCAATCTGAGACTGTCCTTGGTACGCTACAGTTTCAAGGTGAAAATGCTCAGCCATGGTGTTGACTGCTTATTTCGCTCATGATATTGTCCTCCAGTATATAAAAGTATATGGATAGTATATGCATTACTGGATGGTGTGTTTAAAGCTTTACTGATATGTTTGTTTATGGTTATTGTTCTGAGTTGATTTCCATCACTGATCTTGCTCAATCTAGATCACAGCAATAGAGACCTTAAGCAGAAAAAAATAAAGCTTCCTACACACATCATATTGTAATAAAGGCTGTACATTCTTGCAAATGGGTCTGACTATTTGCTGGAGAGCAACTTCTCCAAACCCAGTAAAAACTGATCTGTATGTGGAACCAACTCCACATTGGCAAACCTGATAACATTTGCACTTTATCTTACAGAAAATATGCTGTTTATTCCTTAATTTGCGTTGCCTAGTTATAAATGCTAAGCAGTGACTGGGAAAAAAAATCACTATTTGAGGATATGGGTTTAGCAGATGGTCAATAACAACAACAACAAAAGCCCTCTCTTCATCAAGTAAACATAATGCATTTAACTGTGCATTTTCTTCCAAAAGTTCAATCTTTAACTCGTCATCTTTCCTTCGAAATGATTCCAAATCTATTTCATGTCCCTACACGTTTAATGCCTCCTTAAAACAACATTAGCGTTTAACACAGACATTTTGCTGCCACCTTTTTTTCCCCCCTCTTTCCTTTTTTATTTCCCCCAACCTTCAGGAAACCAGGAGGTAGATGACAGAAGCGGACACAACACGGTAGAGGTAAGTGCTTAGCGATAGGTCCGTGTACCAAACAGCAGGTAAGTCAGTGCAGTCAGAGTCAGCGCAGTGTGTCAGTATTCAGGTAGGATGAGATGGGACAGAACCTCAGGATTAGTCATATCTTTAGGACTAAGGGGCGTCAAGCAAGCGTGGGTGACGAGTGCGTGAGAGAACGAATGCTTCTGGGTAAAGAGCTGCGGGCATGTGAGGTAACCCAATCAAACTAAAATATTAGATAAAAGCACTCCTTTGTCATCCCAAAATTAAAGATGGAGGTTTGGGGAAATGAACACAAGCACAGGTTCTCCTCGCGCTGAAAAATGCATCAGACTCACAGGCTTAAATATTATCTGTGAGCCTTAAAAGAAATAGGTTGTAATTAGTTTCACAAGCTCGGGCAGAAATTGTGACTCCTTTGGGGGCTTTAGAGGAAAAAAAAAGAGAAGGCGGCCATTTCTAAAAGTAGCTGGGGACATGTGTGGAATACATAGTGTGTGTGTGAGTGTGTGCCCACATTCAGCACAGAGACCTTAATTAACACAGCAACATGCAGGCGGAGAAATTTAACGCTCGTTTGACCCCAGAGTCGTCACCTCCCCACTCCTTGCCAGAACTCCTGGAGGTGGAGGAGGGGGGAAGAACTTCTCGTGCGTACATTTCGTGCAAGCAAGAGAGCAAGCTGAACTACAGTACCGTCGGGGCTTCGCAATTACCAGCCCGGAGGCTTCAGATGACCTTTTCTGAGTTGCTTTTTTTTTTGTGGCTGTGGAGTTTAGGGCAGGAGCGCCAAACACACAGGGTCAATCTGACATTCAGTGGCTGTTTGAATTCCACACGGCGCATTGGTGATACGCGAGGTTGTAAATCTTCGCTCAGGTGCCGCTTTGAGGAGAAGTAATTACATGTATGTCACACCGAAAGGCATCATTTTCATATCCGTAAATGCCTGTCGAGCGATTAATCACAGCAGAGCAGACGTGCACTAAGGACTTTTTTAGTGCATCATTTAGGGGCTCCCTCAGCAGCCTTTGGGTTCTTATAACAGGAAGCTATGATCAACGTCATTCTCTTGCACCATTCAATCTAATTAAAAATTCTCCTTTCTACCTGCAATATATCTTTATAATTTAAACCCAAAATCGGAATTTTCTTAAGGGTTGACTTGAGGGCATTTCCCTCTCCAGATTTTTTTCCTCCCCAATGTTTGCACCTCAGGCCAGTCTTCATGCTTGTCTGAGCTACCTTCACCAGCCATCTTCCCCTCTGCCACGCAGCCTACAGTAAATGTCAGGGGCTGGTGGGGAGCCGCTAGCTGTCGAAACACATTTATCTCAGAAACCAGGAGGGAGAAATCTTTGCTCATACTAGAGGCAACAATCTAAGGGTACTAAATCTCAAGACGAGCTTCGGAGATTTGATAAGTAAGGTGTTGAGATTCTAATGTTACCGTCTGCCTCAGAGCAGTGACAATAAGCCGCTCTGTCTGTGTTTCAAAATGGCTGGTTAGTTGTGAGGAAATTGGAGACGGCCGAGGTAATTTACATGTCCCTATCCTTTTTAAGAATGCGGATTTTGTCCCCGACAGTTTGAGAGTTTCAGTTTGATTCACCGTGAGCTGACAGCAATTAAAATTTGTAGGCAACAGGCAATTATTACCGAAGGGAATTTGTCCTGGGTTTCATCTCCCAGGCTACGCAGAGCCTACACGCTACCCACTGATTAGTGGAGTTTGCGTGTTTTTGTGGTAGAAGTTTAAAAAAAAAAATCATTTAGCCTCATCTGTGTTCATATTCAGCTAATACATTTTGACAAAGACAGAACAGTGCTTGGACAAAAAAAATGGAAGCAGAAGCACAGAACAGAAAGGAGCACATGGGTTTTTGACATAAAAAACAAAGCCAAACACAAAGTCAGGCCATTGTCACTGGTGAGAAAGGCTGACAAACAGAGAGTGGTCCAACCAGTCACCCTTTTAAGCCCCGCCAGCTTCTCTCCAGGTGCAGCCAATGCAGCTAATGATCCACCCACTGTGTCCACCAGCTTCACAGGGCAAAGTGGGCGATCTCGTCATAGCAAAGTCATGTCAGCTGGATCACAGCTTGGCTTCTCAGTCCAAATCGTGTCACCAAAAACAATAAAAAATCATGAGATTCAAGTGCTACAGCGCAAAAATAAAACTGAGGAGAGCTACAACCAACTGTTAGTTTGATAGAAGTTTAATGTGCTACGTTTCTCTGAATAATTAATCAGTTGTTTTGTCTGTAAATGTCAAAAAAAATAGTGAAAGGGTGGCCATCTTCCATGATGGTGATACACACATAATATGGCAATCTTCACAGTGCGGCCATCGGTTTTTAACTCACGTGTTTGGTGAGTTTTTTCAACAATGTTTATGAAAGTAGTAGTTTAGCCGTGAAAATGGCTCTGAAGCGGCTGTTGGTTTACATGTAGTCGTAATGGGCTGTGTTTCATTCACTATTCCATACTGGATGTGTTGTCTGACAACAGAAACAGAAAAATATTTAAATGAGAATAGTTATATTGGGAATTCAGATTAGATGTTTCCTTCTTCCAACACACCTGATTCAAATGATCAGCTCATCATCAAGCTCTGCAGAAGCCTGATAACGATCCTGATCATTTGAATCAGGTGTGTTGGAAGAGGGAAACATCGAAAACGTGCAGGCTTGCGGCCCTCGAGGACCGGAGTTCGACACCCCTGATAGACTCAGCGGACAGTGCAGGACAGTTTGGCTGAGACGACTATTGGTTTATGTCGCAAAGTTCAGTAAAAATCTTACTGGCTTATAAATCTGGGAGGCTATCTAGTTGTGAAGGAATGGCAGAAGAAAGCGTCTTTACACAACCACAATAAAACACAATAAAACAGGATTTTCAATGTATAGGACCTTTGATATCCCACCACTGGATGGTCCATCAAAGATCAACGCGTTACCAATAAACAAAAGGCTAAAGTTGAACTAACAGTAAGCTTGTCCAATTAACTGTTGATAGCTTGAACTTAGCCTTGCATTGACAGACCTGCCTACACAGTGCTGCGTCGGCGCTGGAAAATAGTTGGAAATCAATATTAACAAACAAGTTAACTAGCCTCTCTATGACGTTGCTTTTAATGATGGAAATACAACAAAGACAACAGAGCTCACCAGGGCCACTTTCTTCTAGCGTCTCTAGAACCATGTTGCCTATTGTTGAATCTGCGTTTTTATCCGCTCGTTTGACTACATGCAGCTCAGACGTGTTGAAAGTGACGCATAAATCTTACAAGCTCTGACTTTGTAAGAATGTGACGTAACTGTTCCAGCAAAGTGACCACGGTGCCCACTGAGACATGAAGATGACATGTTCAGATTAATGGAAAGGAGAGGCGGCTTTAGAAATCGAACTTTTGAAAGGCACCAGAAAGTCAGTGAAATCCTCCTTTCTGCGTCTGATGTGCTCCAGAGCGCAGCGATACTGTACTTTAGATGTATGTGCAAAGTCGTCAAGGAGACATGGCGGTTGACGGATTGAAAAAGGAGCAAATGTTAATGGAGTTCTTTCACACGGCTGCTGTAAGTGAATGGGAGAACACTGCTGTAAGCCCTTTCCTACCTCAGATACTTCACATTAAAGGTCTGTTATATTGCAGGAAAATTACCATTGACCTTATTCACACAGTCCCCATTCTGAAGAGTTTTGGTGGGAAATTATGTTCTGACTGACACACCTACTGTTTAGCGGACATAAAGTTGATGTAAAGGGAAGATTTTTTGGTGCAGCGGTCTAAGGAACAACCTTGACCGCTTTAGGGTGCAGAGTTAGCAACATTCCAGTACATCCTGATGGTTTGTACTGCATTAACCAGCTAGCTAGCAGAAAAGAAATGAAAAAACAAGACTTTTTTTGATATACTCTTGCAAGAACCAATCAATGGATAAGCTTAATTTATTGGAATTGGTTTCAAAAAAATTCTGAAATGAGCACAAAGTGTTAGAATGCAGACATCAGACATTAACCAAAAAGACATTTCTACTTTGGATCAATATTCACCGATAATCTAAATCTTAAATAAGCATAGAAACACTAATTGCATATTTTTCCACATTAGCTTCTTCCACCAAACACAACATGCATTTCAGTCTGTGCTCATTCCATGAATTTTGATGATATCTTTGTTTTGAGAGACGCAACTTAGGAGATGTGACGCGATTCCTAAAATAGGCTACATGGAAAAAAAGAAGAAGAGAGATACAGTAAAGGAACAGAGAGAACAGGAAGAACACTGAGGCAAGGAAGCTGTCTGCAGGAAACAGAGAGTTGAAACAAATGTGACATCTGGAGCTTTGCATTCTAAAATGACTGTTGCCTGTGGACGTCTGTGGTTGTCAGTCTGCTCACTTCCTCTCCTCCTCTTCTTCCACCTCTACCCTCTTCTTCGTATAACCTCCGTCTATGTTCAGGCTACCTCGACTACCCCCCTCCCCCCTTCTTCCTCCTCCTCGTGTCCGCTGTCCCCATAGTGCCACACAGTGGTTTGGAAGGGAGACACAGGGGCCCTCAGTGTCCCCTTTGGAACCACCGGGCCCCTTCTGTAGCATCGTTCCGATCCACATCCCCCACCACCACCACCACCACTGTTCTCCTGACCCCGGTCACACACTGGTGTTCCCAGCATCTACACTATTCCCGGTACCTGTGGGGGTGGAGGGAGGGGAGTGTACAGTACTCACAATGATTTGACACCTCCACCGACCCTGATAACACCTGAGCCCCCACGCATGCCCTGTGTGTGTGCGTGTGTGTGTGTGTGTGTGCGTATGCTGTGCGTTCACCAACCACCCCCCCACCAAAAAAAAAAAAAAAGAAAAAAAGAGGGCTTGACGGATTGTAGAGGAGGAACCAGTTTTATAACATTTGATGCTGTTCTCTTGGCTGTTTTCTAAACTAGGTGTCAATTCACAACAGGCTTCAGACGTACCAGCTCAGCAGCAGCAGCAGCAGCAGCACGGCTCGGAGTCCCGAGAGCGTGGCCCTTCTTAACCACCGGGGAGAGCTGCTGTTCCAGCAGGGGCCCCCGGGCCTTACCCAGGGGCCGGCGCCTCCGCCTCAGCACCCGCAGCTGCAGTCAGCGGCGAGCACCCCCGCCCACCATCTCCCCCTCCAGCAGCACCACCAGTCCACCGTCAGCATGGCCGATCTGCGGCCCGAGACGCTCATCCAGTGTCAGCAGATCGTCAAGGTCATCATGCTCGACAACAGCAGCCACGGGCGCATGGAGGCCTTCCTCAGCCAAACGCCCACACACCACCACTACCAGCACCACCACCACCACCACAGCCACCACCAGCTTAGTCAGTCCGCCATGTCCACCCCGGTCCGCTCCCCGGACGGCTCCCACGGCAACGACGGCCACCAGCCCCCGCTGCCTCCTCCGCCTCCCCCTTACAACCACCCGCATCAGTATATACCCCCGGACCCCCGCCTCGGTCTACACCGGACCCCAAGTGGCTCTCGGAGCATGGTGTAAATAAATAAATGAGTATCCTTCCCCTGAAACACCAACACACGCTTCCACGTCAACCCCCAGCCCCTCTCTACCTATTTAACAGTACATAATGTACATATATACATACAGATGAAAGAGCTATAATGAAAAAATAAAATCCCACTTATATGCATATATTTAAGGAAAAAATAAAACAAAAAAAATCAAGGTTTTAAAAGCGATAAGGAGAAATAAAGTGCATATATAAAGTTTTACTTGATTCCACATGTATTTTGAAATATTACGTAGTTTTAACAAATTTCTATAACTTTTTGTCAGTTTTAACTCTTCTCGAGAAAAACTCACAGATATTCAGTTTGCGGATGGATTCCTCGTAGTTCCAGTATTCAACAACAACAGAAATACATGAATCCCTCAAACTGTTTTCCCAGTAATGGATGGACACACTCCAAGGACCTTCTGCTTCTGTTCGCTTTTATCATCCCAAACCTCATGCCTACTGTGCTGTATGTGCACATGCGTGCATAGTTGACACTTAACTGAAAACGTGTGCCAAAATACATATGCCTCCACTAAACAATGACTCCTTTGCACTTGACTAAACGCTAGGGCTAGAAGAAAAGGAAAAAAATGAAGAAAAAAAAAAAAACAACCTCCTCCTTTGCTTTGAGAAAAAAAAAGTCCTTTCAGGCTTCTCCCTCAAGGAGCACAAAAAATGAATAGCAAAACTGATATTTCATGAAAACCTATCTACTCATTTGCGCTGTTGCTGATTTATTTATGTGATGGAGGGCCTTCTCTCTTCTTGTCTGCTCCCCGGGATTTCCAAAAAAAAAAAAAAAAAGCAAAATGACAACCTCCGATAAGCTGTATTTGTCATCTGCTCCTCTGTTGCGTTGTGGCTCTCTATCATCAGAAAACACTCTCACTCAATTGTCACTCTCCATACATCAAAACCACAGTGAAGAATGACAGGAACCAAAGGCAACCAATCACAACGGATTGCTGCCAAACCAAAAAAAAAAAAACAACAACAAAAGAAAAAAAAAAAAGTCAGCCCAGGATGCTTCTGATGATTGTTGTTTGTCTCTTCATGTTTAATATTGCTAAGGCTTCCCAGGAATCCGTGGCCACTTTTATCTGCTGATGAAAGGAAAGTTTTTTTCATATTTCCAAATGGTCCGAGCGTCTCTTGAACTTTTCTAAAAAACAAAAAAACAAAACACTCCGGCATTCACGTGTAATATATGTAACGACACACTGTGCTGTCATCTGTTGTTTCTCAAAAATGCTTCTTGGCTTTTTCAGGAAAAAGAAAATCGCCGTGAAATTTCCATGAAGACGCTTCTGCTACGAAAACAGTTAAATGTCGAGATCTGTGTTTATTTTAATTTGCCACTGTGTGTGTGTGTGTGTGTGTGTGTGTGTGTGTGTGTGTGTGTGTCGGTGGATAACTGCAGGACTGAATCCGCCCACAAAAAAAACATCCAGACACTGTCCCTTTATGTCGACTCCCAGGTTTGGTTTCAGATCCTTGTGACTGTTTTTTCTCCTCTCTCTCTTAACCTTTCAGTCTGACATTTTCAAAAAGGCAAAAACTACACGGCTTATATTGCAAATGCTGGCATTAATGGTATTGTTTGTGCTGTTGGCTATCCTGCTTTTTAAATGAGAATGGGACAAAAAGAATGCATTATCTGATCTCTTTCTATTTCACCTCAGCCTAGATTGTAAATACCACATCGGAGCAGTGTCAGAAAGGACAAGCAAGCCACCTTTAGCCCCTTTCCAATAAGCTATCGCCCCCGTCACGCGTCCTTCATTCTGAAATAGGTCAGCCCCGTCCCCACGACGCGTCCATCTTTTAAACATAAGCCCCCCCACCAGGTAGTGCGGGATGGATGTTAGGTTAACTCCGCTCCCCATCTGACCTCCATCTGTCTGATTTGTTGATTTATAATCATGGAGCCACTGCAGGGAGGTCTCTATCTCATCTTTCTGTCCTTTTCCACTTAGGATTTCACCCCGAGAAACAGACAGAGGTTGCGGGAAAAGCAAAAAAAAAAGCAGGCTATTGTCGTGTGGCAGAGATGATGTGAGTGCTCCATGTGTGGCCCGATCACCAGTAGCATCGCGACAAATCCATCCTCCCTCTCCCTGTTTCATCCCCCCCCCAGTAATGGCTTTTGTTATTATTTCACAACACAAAAGAGAAGAAATTAGCACTTTCAAATTGACGATAATTAGTTTGAACGCTTTCACCGGCTGCAAAACAAACTTTTTGAGGGTTGTGTAATAAATTTTAGCAGATCACGAGTTCTATTATTATTATTATTATTATGTTGGTTGATGATGATGATTGCTCATTGATTTGTTTAAATCCGATATAATGTGATTGATTTTATGCATGACATCAGTTTGAAGGCCTATTTGAATCCCGAAAGTCTTGAATTTATTGTGCATGACTGACCTCGCTGTGAGCACACGAGTGGGAAAAGAAGGTTTGTGTTGGAACTAAAAGAATATATATATTATAAATGATTTTTTTTTATGATGGCAAACACCCTTTCAAACACAAAATGTATATTTGGGAAGATATGTTTCTGTGCCTCGCGGCAAATTCGATGCCTCTTTCATGGCCATTTGTTTTGTTTTTATGTCTTTTGTGTTTTCGGGGACAGATATACGCTGCGTGTGCAATAAACACGAGGCGCACCGAGAATCGTGGCTTTGCGAGGAAACTAATGTAGCATTTTTAGGAGTGTAGCGAATGACGCAGAAGCGCAGTGGAAGCTACCTTTCATGAAGAAACTCACAAAAAGGGCTCTGCCATACCAGTGCACTGCTTCATGAATGACGTGTGGATCTCGTGTGGCTCTTCAACACTGTGTTTGCTCATACTAGTATAAAAGAAATTCAAAGAGTGGACATATATAGGACTAGACAGGCGGGGAAACTGAGTGTAACAGATATGAACCATCGCCTCCCTCAGTTGGCTTTGAATCCCTCTCTACCTGTCTTTGCAGTATATCAACATGCAATTAAAGATGATTTAAGTCTATTCAACACAGTGGTTTGCTTCGGTTATTGGGTGTAATGGCAACATTTCGAAGCCACAATCAGTCAGTATTTTTTTGTTATTGTTTTCACTGCACCAGAAATCAAAATCAATGCAATTGATCAACAATAGACGGAACAATGGATCACAAGATTAGCTGTATGTGAAAGAGCTGCTTGCAATAACAAACACCGAAACACTCCACATTCAGCTCAGAGACCAAAGAGCTCATTACTTGGGTTTGGTCTCGCCGTTTGCAACAGTGGGGGGTTGTTTTCAGTCAAAAAAGCTGAAAAATCCCACTGTGCGCTACCTGCCCGGCACAAAATGGTGCACAGTGTTAAAGGTGTAACAACAACATGTCACTCACAAACTGGTGGGGAGCACATGGGAAGTCAATGTTGGGCCTGGTCTCCATCGTGGATGTGTTGCTCCATGTCTGCAGGAAACAGGAAACCTTAAAGAGCTAATTAAGGTTTAATTGCATCCCAGGTCCACCTGAAAACACACCTGACACTGATGGCGTAGGATCATGGAGTCACCTGTATATGACCACAGCAAGGTGAGGAGCTGAACCACTAGAGGTCAACAACAGGTGCTGTGTTTAACCCTGACATACGGTTCATGTTTTCTGCCTTCACAGTGTGGTTCAGGTCAATTTTGATCATACTAGGAAGAATTCCTGTCAAGAATTCCCTCACAGTAAGTGTCTATACCACATTTTAAACTACAGATCTATTTAGAATGTCTAAATAGCCTATTAATAAATATAAAAAGAGAACACACATCAAACATGGCCTGTACAGCTTTACAGTTTCAAGATTTCCTAAAACCACCATTTTCCATTATTTGACCCACACTGCTAGATCTAAATCCTCAGTGTACAGAAATGTGTAGCACCTGTACAAAGGTATAACATTTTTAAATCTTACTTTTTGTGTATTTTGGGTCACTTTAGGAGAAGTCATCAAATTTCAGGCTAAAAGAATGACATTTAGGGTTTTTTAACTGCTGTCAAATGTCAAAATAGGTCCAATTTGACCCAAAACAGTATGCAAGGGTTAAATCTTGTTGCCCCAAAGGAGCCAAAAAGAACTTTATTGGCCTGAGAAGCTTTTTATTGCTTGCTGAAATATAGAACTTCATATACATGTAGATGCTGCACTAACCAGGCCAATTTGGTAAAGCAATTTAAAGGAGTTCACTTAGACTTCAGGCATTGGGATTTAAAACCAACAGGCAAACCTTCACAGAGTCACAGCTAAGGATAACACATGCTGCAACATCTGGGGATGAAAAATGAAGCCAACATGAAACTAAATGCATCTAAATCCTGGAACAAGAGCTGGTTTTGGTTTCTATAGCTGATTCCATAGTTCATTACAACCATGCTGGGGGTGAATTTTTATACAACTCACCCATTTAAAGTGTATTAAGGCCTAAAGTTATGCATAATTAAGGGCGTGGCCCACCTCAGCTTCATTCATGTTCCACTTCTTTGGTCATTTTCTGGATTCACTGAGAGTTTGGAGGAATCAGGTTCTGCCAAGTTGACGTCCCTTTTTTTATACAGTCAGTAAACTACAGCATCCCATTTCCCCAAAATCGCTGCACTGTAAAGCACAGTTTTATGTTATTTTAATGCTCCTACACATTAATCTGTCAGTGTTTATCAAGAAAATTTGATTTGCCTTGGCTGATTTCCCTATTAAGATTTCACAGCTATGCACGAGAAAGACGCAGGAAGGAAATAGAAAGTGAGCGAGCTGGCTAATTGTTGTGAATTTATACCACATAAAAAGGAAATGGCTTTTTAAAGAAGTAATTACAGAAGAAAAATGAAAAACAAATGACTTTGTGTTATGTGCTCATACGAGATGCTGATGGAGATTTGAGTATATTTTTATTGACATGAAAAAAACTGAAGTAACATCAGGCCACATGTTTAATACATCAATGTGCAGTCCAAAGAAAACCATAATTCTCCAAATTCAGTCCAAAAAAAAAGGAAAAAACCTTGTTAAACTAAACCTAAACCCTTTTAAAAACCTTTTTTAAAAAATCAAGCTTATGAAAAGTGTATTTTGGAGACGCATGGTTTTCACAGGACAGAGTTTTAACACTTTCTTATCACCCACGGTATGAAAAAAAAAATTAAAAATATACTTAATATAATGACACAATTATATTTACAATTCTCTAATATCTTAATATACACAATTAAAGCCTAGAAACGAGTATCTCAAAGCCGTGTTAAATGAGAAACGGTGTACGGTAAATAGCACGAGCAGCTTTTATCACAAATAAAAACATTATACATCGATTTTCGGGATCAGCAAAAGACACCAACAGAGTACACATTACGGCCCACAGTGACATTTACTTTACTGCTATGAACAACTATATCACTGCTGGAGGCTAGTTGGTCCTTTAAGCTGCAAGATAAGCTAATAATCTTTGATGCATTACAGTTTTATGCTTACGATCAAGTTTTACCAGATTGTTTTATGTCTCTGTACATTCATTACATTTGTGGTAAGCTTATAAACAAAGGCTGCACTCAGTAGTCGAGATTTACAAGGAGGACGTTCACAGCCATGGTGGTACGTTGCGTATGTGGGTTATGTACACAGGTTCTTTGTTGCTCTGTAACATTTATTTTATGGTCAGAGCTTCAGAGGGAAATGTTGCATCCTCTAAATTTATCAATCATAACCTTTGCCTTCCATTTGCCAGATTATTTTTTAAACAGTAAATAATAATGAAATATTGTACTCCAGAGACTCCATCCGTCCAATTGTCAGATTTCATTGTGGCTACATTAAGTCCTGACCGTCAGATCATTTCAAGCTGAACTATCCTGGCTAGACAGGAGCTTCGCCCACGCTCCCTGTGTGTGTGAATTCTTCATGCCCCGATGGCTTTTTATCCTCCTGGGCAGTTGTCATCATCCGCCAACGCTGGTCATATAAAGAGAGTTGCATCAGCCACAGATTAAAAGCTCAACAGTTATATTTGAAAGTGAGTCCACATGTAGAGCATTAAATGGACCAAAACAAAGAAATGAAAACAGTGAACAATGTGCTTTTTTAGCTGTGATTTGCACATTCGAAAAGCCCAGAAGATAGAAAGTTGGACTGTTTTTGAAGTGGTTGGGAACATTCGACAAAAATCTGATTTTGTAAGGCACAGGCATTAACAAAATATTAACTGTAACAAACTGTGCTCACCTTCAAAACCCCGATAATGATGCTGGCCTTGGGCCAAACCCATCTTTTCTGTTTCATTCCCGAATGACTGCAGTCTTAATAACGAGGAGAGAAAATCCGGCCTCCCCGCACACTCTCTCTGTGCTATTTATTTTGTTTACTTTCTCTTTTACTCTTTTTTTTTTCCTCCTCCAGCTCTGCATTGCAGTGTGAGTGCACTTTAAAATCAGCGACAACAATGAGTCCATACCTGTTTGATGCTGCCTTTGGTGGAGCAGAACAAGTAGATGACGTAGCCTGGGATGAGTACCATTGAGGACAAAGCCATGAACCAGCCGATCACTTGGCCCCACAGGGGGTAGACGTACTTGCCCAGGGTCAGAGGGGTCATCTCTATGGCACTGAAGGTGAACACTCCCTACAAGAGAATATTAGGCCTTTTAGTCCATTTAATCTGTGGTCAGTTAACCAAAAACACCACAGAATGAGGCCAGCAAGCACCGATTCAGTTTGTACTGTTTGTTGAAGACAACTTAATATTGTAAAACCATTGCTTGGAATTGCTTTTAAATGACCATATTTCAGCATGTAGTAATAATATCTTTATTTATATGGCACCTCTCAAAAACAAAGTGGAAAAACAGATATTGCACGATCCAAAACATGAAATGTCATAAGACAAAATAAATGAAAAAGCTACAACAAATACCAAGAGTTAAGAATAAGCCATGTGATGAAGTTGAGTTTCAAGAAAACTTTTAAAAGAGGAAACTTAGTTTGACTGTCTGAGGTCTGCCAGTCACCTTCAATGACAAGTCAAGGCTTTACATCCATCATCAGGACTCTGTTCCTGTAGCTTCCTATGAGCTTCATTGCTGCCTGAGATCCTCCAACAGACATCTAAGCAGGTGCCTGATCATTCAAGGCTTTAAACACAAGCAGTAAAATCTAGAAATCAATTCTAAACTTCACTGGTAACCAGTAAAGCCAGCTGGGTTTAGAGCAATATGGTAGAGTCTCTTGGTGAGTGTTTTGACTAAACTCTAGATTACCAGAATAAACTGAAATATAACAAATTAAATCTGAGGGAGATGAAAGCCTGAATGACCTTTTTTTTAAGTTTGCAGAAGAAAGGAATGGGCTGATCGTGGTTAACTGTCTCCGTTGAGCAAAGCAAGAGTGCACTAGTTTGGTTACCTGAGCATCAGAAGACAACTCAGAGTCAAAAAAAAAAAAAAAAAAAAAGCTTGTGCTAGTAATTATGATCACTTCGAATTTGAAGTCATTCAGCTGCAGGAAATTCTCAGACATCCAATTTTTAATTTCAGCAACGTAGGATATGTGTTACTTACTCCACATTCCAATACAGTTGACTATGCCATGCTAGTGGTAGCCAACAGCTAATCGCTAACAGTGAGTCTGTGCTTGGTAGAGACTCACATAGAAAACTGACCAACATTAAACAACCCTGTCTCACAAAAAGTGGGTTCCTCTATAACTAAACTGCATTCTCAGTTATGTTTTGAAAGAACCTATTTAGTCCTCAACAGGTAAGACCATCAAAGACAATGTGAGGAGGATTAAGTTTGCTACAATACTTTCACCGAGGAGACTGGGGTTGCATCCTAGACTTAAATTTGGTTTTCACTCAATGTTGGTTGGGTTTAAGCACCAAACTATGTGGTTAAATTCAAGAAAATGGCCCATTTTGCTTAAAATATAACCTTTTTGCAACATATTTTCATCCATTTTCTGTGTTACCATGGTGACGAGTCTGGACTCAACTAATATGTGACCAGTCGGCAGAAAAGACGCAACAAAATATGTTGATTAGAAATGTATCAGTTATTTGGTGCAAAGAAACATAATCCAGGAGAAAATCCACTTCCCAAAATGTAATTTAAAATCCAGTTTAGCTGTATAGGAACATGATTTTTAGGTGACTTGACTGCATTGAAATAAAGTAGGTGACTCTGTTGGTGGGGGAGTTGTTTAAGGTGCCAGTGAGACAATGATACGTGATGTATGACGTCCTTTTAGAGTAACAGATCAATGATTACACGGCTTTAGGGTCTTACGCACAACCTGCCTGCATAATTTAGTGTGTTGTTAGTTAATTAGTTGAGGCTAATTGTCATTAGCTTTTCAGATATTTTCTCTAAAAACCAGTCTGAACAAATCATGGCGGTCGATCCAATCTAGCTTTTTAGTCACTGTCTCGGAAAAAACAGGATGACCAAAGTCAGTAAGACACATCTGGGAAGCAAATATTTGTACTGTCGAGATATTTCAGTCTGAACCAAGATGACGGACCGACCAGCTGACTCACTAAAATAACTTTTTAACCAAATTTAGCTTTACTTTTAGCCGCTACTTCTTGACGTCTTTATATCCGCAAATCGTCAAAGCTCACTTTGTCTTTTTCTCTGAATACACCAAACATCCCCTTTCACAGCAGACTTTCTTTTAAGTGGAGATAAAGACTTTGCCAAGATTTCCCTGAGGGCCTGACAGCCCATGGGATAAAGAACAAATCACCTCAAGGCAGAGGAAACCATTTCAGCAAAGACATCAATCCTCTACCTATTGGCACTTCCTGCAGCTTGATGGGTGCATAGATCTCCTTGAGGCGGAGGGAGAGCTTGACTGAGAATAACTCATTGTAAGAATTCAGCAGGTGAAGGGTCACCGAGGTCAAGTCAATAGTCATTCTTCTCCTACCAGGCAGATCAGAGGCGTGAAGAACATCCAACAAAGCTTCCACCAGCGACACGGCCGATAGCCAATCATGTCCTCAATGTTCTTATAAAAATTTTCAGCTCCTGCGGCGTAAAGAAAAGAGGACAAAGAAGGAGAGTTAATGTGGAGATAACGGCAAGAACAAAGCTTTACAGGCTGAGAAAGAGGGGGAGCCTTATCACAGCATGGGGCGCTGATAGATGTAATTTCCTGTTGGACAGCTATGTAGCAAATCTACATGCCTGATTCATTAGTCCTTAGAAACTGTTTCAGCTTTGGCTACATTGAATTTCACTCTACAATGCTTGGCTTGTAAATGTGGACAGTAGGGGGAAAAAAACAGATTTGCCTACCATAAAACCAGGATATTGAAATGGTTTCAAAGAAGACGAGGTAGAGGAGACACATCCCACTGGCAGAGTAGTAATCAAACAGCTTGAACACGTACAGACCACCCTGAGAGGTTTCAACAAACACATCTGCTTCAGAGGCTGATTATTTACGTCCCAATCATTATTAAATAAAATATGCATAATGAATTGTTTTGTTATTATCACGCTGCGGGAGTTCTTGTGAGAAAAAGGTGCAAGTGTTCATACAGTAAGTGTTGGGAATTAAGACTGTCCAGGGTGCCATACCTGAGTGATGTTGGAGAAACCGATGAGGAAGGAGATGAAGCAAACGATGAGGATGAAGACCTTCTTCCTCTTCCTCAGCGTCAGAGGATATTCATCCATCAGAGCTGTGATGAAGCCCTCTACTGTGCAGAACTAGTACATAACACAATGCAAAGACAAGGGTCAGAATGTACTGGAGTCCACCAGGTCAACCAAACACTGTTAAGCACATTATGGACAGTTTAACAGAAGTCAAACCATCTTTTTCATCTAATGCCTACATTACCCACAATCCAACCTGCCTTCCCAACAATTTGGGGAGCTTGATCTTATACTTAACTTGCACTTTGTCAGGACCCCTTGGTGTCACATTTGAACATATGTGGTATCCTTTAGTGCCATTTTTAAACGCCACAGACTGTATATAAATAAATAGATCCTTCAATTACAGTTCATGTTCAATGAGCTGTTGATCTGATACACCTATAAAAAATCTGTCAGAAATAGATACCTTGAGTCCTGCTGTTGCTCCTTTTCAGGTGAGTTTGCCTTATAACTTGGCTAATGTTGTCAAAGGGTGTATTTTACCCAATCCATGATCTCTTCCTAACCCTAATCAAGTAGTTTCAGTGTGTTAAGTAAACCAAACAGCAAGTGAAAAGGAGACTTTAATCACAAAATAAAACTAAATAAGGCAAAAGTATTAGTCCAGCATGGGGCCTGAACCTCCATGTCCTGGTTCACTCTTTGAAACTAGAATAACTCCTCTACATCCTGTCCTATATACTACACACTACACATCCCACATGCGTCGAATGTTGACGAGGATGGCACAGATGCCAAAGGATATCTTGTGCTATCATTTAGATGCAAAAGACTTTAACAGAACATCAGTATCTGATACTCTTGGAATATAGATGGTTGGTTTGGTGGACATTTGGATGTGTTACACTGCTGGAGCCTTAAGCTGGTAGCTTCAAACAAGATCTAAGGAGCAGTCTACAGACGTCTTAAAGCCCACTTCTTTCTAAAGGCAAAACTCTACATTTCCTCTCCTTTTTTAAATTTGTATTCTTACCACTGACTTAAATGGCATCACTTGAGGCACAAGATTTTTAGCAGCTCAATGTGGATCCACAAACAACTTTATACATGCAGTAGATGTGCCACCCCAAACTTACAGACTTTCTCTTGATTTCCATTTATTCATTCATTGTTGCCACATCCACACATTGTTTGTACCTGACTGTCCAGGCCCAGCATCATGAGCATGGAGAAGAAGAGGATGGCCCATAGAGAGGACATGGGGAGCTGGGTGACGGCCTGAGGATAAGCTAAAAACGCCAGACCTGGACCTACAAGTCAGAAACAAGACACAGTTACAATCATTTCATGACAATATGCTGTAGCTTATGGAAACTTTGACAAATTAAAGGTGCAGTCTGCGATTCTGGAGATACTGGATTGGTGATCTTTAGCTGCATTATTTATTTAGTATGAGACACACTGGAGTAGTGTTGTGTGGATTTGTTTGCTTCCCAATTTACAGAGCCAGGATTGTGTATGAACAGTTTTCTGCTGAATTCAACTAAATCTGCACTGGATTAGAACCGCTAACTTTACCGTTAACCCTCTAAACCCCAAAAGCCACCATTGGGTTTGAAAGACATATCTTTTTTTTTTTCTTCTTCTTTTTTAATCGCCAAATTTACACGATTTATCAGAGCCAGAAGCTGTAATAACAGGAAGAATCCGTGACACACCATTCATATGGAAAAATTGGGATATCTTATTACATTACACTAAGTGCTATAGTCTAGAAGTAACATGCAATCTGATTAAACATTCAAAAGCACAATAGATCTGTGCCACTGCAAACCATTTGACCTGTCACATTATTGATAGCTCAGTTCCATTAACGGTCCCAGTAAACCAACGCAGTAAACCTGCACCCACAAACAGGGCATCCAATAAGTAGAATGTAGCCATCGTTAATCCACTTGTGCCTTCCTTACATACGAGTCACAATGTTTGTGAAAAATACAAACTAATTCTTTGTATTTTCTTAGCCATTACAGTAAAAATATACCTGACGCTGCCAGCTCCTGCACAGGTTTCTTAGTGATGTAAGACATGAAGCCTACGATGGAGAAGATGACGAATCCAGCAAACATGCTGGTGCAGGAGTTGATGCAGCACACGATGATGGAGTCCCTGAAGAGAAAAGATCAAAACAAACACTTAGAAGCAACAAACTACCTATAATATCAGCTATTATAGTTTTGATTCCTGATGTCTACCTGTAGACATCGTTGTTGTAGGTGTTGTAGCTTCCCAGTGCGATGAGTGAGCCCAGGCCCAGTCCGTAGGAAAAGAAGATCTGAGTAGCTGCGTCCAGCCACACCTGTCAGACAAGACGTACATGTGTCCTTGTTTTTGCATAAACATGTTGGTGCGATTAGATGCACATGGTTGGAAACTGTGTACCTCCGATCGGATGAGCTTGTTGAAGTCGGGGGTGATGTAGAACAGGATCCCGTCGATGGCTCCGGGAAGCGTGACCCCTCGGAAGAACAGGATGAACAGCATGACGTAGGGATAGGTGGCAGAGAAATACACCACCTGGGAGAGAAAGAGAGAGAGAGAACTTGTCTTTATTCAAAATTAAAACCTGTTACTCAATGAAACAGCTGGCATCTGTGTGCTTCTATATGTACATATTCTTGTCTATGACTGTTAAAATGGGGATGGGAATGTTATTTTCAACCTAATTTGTTTAATTAAATGGCAAACAAGCCATTTGCCGTCATCTACTGAACCCTAAAACCCTCCAGCAGGTTTGAAAGACATGATAATGTTTAAGAATCACTAAAATGACACCATTTATCTGCTAAATCACAATCATAAATCACCAAATCAAGACCAGGAGTCTCCAAACTGAGAAATGACAAAATCAAGCTCAAGAGTTACACAATCAAGAGCCCGAATTATTGAATCCAGAGCTTACATTAGTGAGCTACTCATCTGTGATGAGCCATTCAGATGGAAAACTGAACTAAATCTAAGCTTAAAACTGTAATATTTCATCAAAATCACTTTTTTTCTACATGTTTTGTTTAAAAAAAATGGCAAAATTGATTAAATAATTATTTAGTAATACCTTGGTACAACTAGAAAGCTATGAGTGGATTAGCTGCAACAAACACTTATACTTAGGGAGTATTTGGCTGAACCGCAGGCTGGAAGCAAATTTAAAAATTAAGTAGTGAAATATCTAGAATATGTAGAGTTAAAAAAAAAAGAGTGTTGAGAACACCTGCAGACATTCTCCATCCAAAAAAACCCATTTAGTTCTCTCTACTTCTAGTCATGGTTGTGCTGTTTCCATTGAGCTGCAGGACTTTAAATGAGCCCACAGTAAGTAAAAAGGTGACAAGAGCAAAAAAAAAAAAAAAAACACCCAGAAACTGCTCAGAGTTCAGAGGGTTAAACACTCAAGTCAGAAAGAGATGCAAAATCCCTGTCGCCACAGTATACACAAAGAGACAGCCACTAAAATATTTCCATGGCTTCTCTTTGCCAGCAGATCTGTATAATGTGTCCCGCAGTTCTGTAGCATAATGATTATGCTTAATTGGTAATGTCCGTCAAGGCCAGGGCCTCGGGGGAATACATTTTTCTCACTGCTCTCAGATGCCACACATTAAAATCCAATTATCCCTGGCAGGGAATGTGTAAATGTGTTTCTTCTCATACACTTTGCTTCGACTTGCTATAATTTAAAAAATCCCAGGCAGCAGGGAGAAAGATGGGGTTTTTTTTTTTTTTTTTTAGAATTCTGTCACAGTTTTTCCTAGCCACTCCAACTCCTCCAGCTATTTGGGACAAAATAATACGCTTCGAAAAGCATTTTTATTCCCACCTGAGCGCAATGTTGAAGGAGAGATTGGATGTAAGCAGCAAAATAAGAACAGCTGAGAAGAATAAATAAAAGAAGTGTCTCCATCACATCAAAGAAATGAAACCTTTAGGTGGTTGTTTGGTTCTGCGAAGGCCAATTAGCGCATCGTCTGCTCCGTTCTGATGGGAATTCATAATGTGATGCTTTGAACACGGTGAAGCCGTCGTGACGGAGACGTTTAAACAACATCAGCATCAGAAAATCATCCAATCAGGAAATCATCAAGGAGCTAAATACATTGATATAGAGACACAGACCTCATTAGAGCTGACGTTGTGGTTTCTGTCCAAATAGTGCAATTTGGACAAATACAAGTAGATAAACAGCTCATCAAAAAACAACCTGAAAAAGACGTTGCCATCAATAAACACTGACAAAATAGTCAATTAATAAATACATTTGACAATACATTATAATTAAAAGTTTTGTGATCTACCAGTATTGACAAGATCCGTGATATTTTCTAAAGATATTGCAATAATATTGTCGTTGTGAATCCTTTTGGCCACAATTATCCAGTGGTGAAAATCTGATGTTGTGTGAGCCTAATTAGAATATTAGGTTAAGTAAATGGACGCACTGTCTTTATTGCGGTTTCATTCTGGGATGACAAAATGACCAATGAAATTCATCTATTTAGAAGCACCCTTATTCAAATTCTTGCCCAAACAAATTGGCTTCAAAACATTAATGAAAAGTGTCCAATGAAGGTTTATCACCTTTGAGTTCACAATGTGACTGACAAATGTATCACATAAAAAACTAAAAAAAAGACTTTTAGTTGTAAAGAAAGCAGTCGCACATATCTCGCCAACTTTTCCTAGAAGAGACCTAAATGACCAAACAGGCCATAAGAAGCACAGTAGTTATGTCAGTTCTGGGGAGGAACTGCTGGAATAATGGATTCATGGACCAAAAGACAGACAGGTAAAAAGAAAAATAAAGGGGCTTTGATTGTCATGCATGGCAAAATACACTCACAGGGACAATGTTAGCCATTTTCACCATTCTAATTTGGTCTGCAAGCATGCTAACATTCGCTAATTCGCACCGACAACAAAGTACAACAATGTGGATGTTAGTTACACAAAGTTTTAGTCGCTATTAAGTACTACACATAGTACAGTTTAAACCATGATGCTGCTAGATGGAAAAGATAAGCATAGTCAATAATATTAAGTGTATGACGTGCACATGAACAAAATATCGTGACTATTCAAACAATAGCTGTTGAGATTGTTGTACGCAAAAGTTTGGACAAATTTGTGAAAATCAAGTTTTGTACTTTGTTGACATGTCCATGTGTTGTTGTTTTTTATATCCTAGAACTGATAACATGAGCGAACTCAGCAGTCAACACCATGGTTGAGCATTTCCACCTTGAAATTATAGAGAACCGCTGACTCAGAAACAGGCATTGGGGTTTTATACATAACAAACCTAAAGAACCAATGCAGAACGAGGCTTTTCATGTCCTTATTCATCTTCAGAATTGGTTTCCAGTTTGAACATGTATGGCTGAAGTGCTCCAAAATGTCAACTTCCCATTGTGTACTATGGAGGAGTTTAACAGGTTTTGTGCAGAGCTGTAGGTGAGCCAGCTGGGCAGGGTGGGGGCAACAACATAAAGTTACATCTAAGCCTTTTTATGGTATAAAGGGATTATTTTCATGAAATACCCATAACATTTTTAACTTTAGGGGTTAAATCAACAACCAGAGAAGGACTTTAAACACAACTTGACTTACTATTGTGACTTGTGGTTAAACTTCTACATGTCACATTTACTCCTCAAAAATTTTTTAAGCTAAGAGTTATTTTCTTTAATGTCTGCTTGCTGCAGGGGTTGCAAACTTTGAAACTCCTTCTGAAGCGTAGTTCACCTGCTTTGTGCATCTGTGTGTCGCGTGACGTAAATTCCCTTCACCCACCCTTCAGACATCCTCATGCAGCATAAAAATGTGCAACCACACACAGACTGCAAGTGTGCTGACTGCACAGGCGCCAGGAAAACAAATGGTGTTTAAAACACACTCTTGTTATGCTGAGACACTGCAGGAGGAGATTCTCCATCATCCACACCTTCATCATGCATCATCACAAGAGCTGGAGTCGAAGTAGCTGCTGTCGGACTTTGGAGGTGCTTTGATTTGCTTTCTATCAGCGGTGCTAAAACACAGCGGGGAAGCTTTAAGTACTCCAGAAATTCTGAGCTATGATCCTCCGTGTGTCTGTCACAGTGTAAATAAAACCTGCTTTCAAAGTCTGCAGCATGAACTGAACCTCCTCGTCCCCCAGAGCCATGCAGCTAGTATGGCTAAAAATGGCCTATTTATCTAATAATAGTAATATAATATTCTAATATCAAATGCAGTTTAGAGTTTTTTTAATACATATATCATTTTATTTGGTTCCATCCACAGCAGCAGGAGGTCTGACTCCTGCTCAGCTCTCTGTCTAGTCATGTTTGCTTGATTAAAGCTTCAGTATGCGAGATTGGCAGAAAGCGGCTCAGATAAAGAAGACTGCGTAATGTTAGTCGGAGAGAAGCATAAAGAACATAGAAGGAGGGAGAAACTTCAGCAGAGAGCCTGACCTTCCCCGTCCACTCCACTCCTTTCCAGATTGAGAAGTAGACGAGGACCCAGGCCAGCGCCAGAGTGCCCACCAAGGGCCAGCGTAGCTCCCCTGGTTCCTCCAGACCGTCAGTCAGCTGGTGCATGTTGCGCCTACACAAACACATACACTGAATTCAGACGGGCACAAAAATTTGTTCCACATTCTTGTATAGGGCATCTTATAGACACACATATGTGGAAGGAAACAAAACCACATTTCTCTGACTTACTCCCAGAACTCGGTGACAGCGCTGGTCAGGTTGGTGGTGTCTTCAATACTGTAGTTGGAGAAACATCTGTCTGTGTTCCAGGGGTTATCGCAGCTTTGCCATGGCAGCTCCTGCACACACAGATGGAGAAAAGCATGGTGAAATGTCTGTTTTGCATCATGTATTCTGGCAAAAATCACTGCAGGATGCATCTGTTGTATCATTTTTCCAAAGAGGGTGAACACGGGCTTTTTGCGTCACAGATAATAAAAGCATCTCCTTGACTCTCAACAGTTGCCTGTCAAGTTTGACTCAGCAACCTCAAACGCCACAAAGACTGCTCAGAACAAAGGGAGCTGAGACAGAGAGGCAAAGCAACCAGCAGTGAAAATAACATTTAATGAACCCACTCTGTTTTCAACTTTCATCGAAACACATTGAACAAAACATGAAAACATTGTTTTTTTTTTTCCTGCTCTGCATTTTCCCCCATCACAAGAGTTTTCATCTGACTTCTTTGAGTCTGGCGGTCACGCAGAGAAACTCCAAAGCAGTGCGAGCAATGCACATTGAGAAAGGCAGTAAACAAGTTATAAATATTCTAATTTATCAATAAGGCCGTGGAGTTGGTTGTAATCAGGTGTAGAACAGAAGTGAAATATGCCTCCAGTCTTTTGCGGCACCTGTTTGTTTTTATCCACTTGGGGGCGGCAAAAACAAGCTGTAGAATTAATGCAAACATATGATTTAATTGTAGATACAGGGCAACTACCATTCTTTTTCATTTACATCCAGCTTTTAGTCGCAACTAATTCATTAACGAGATATCTGGCTTCTAATAATAAATAAATATTTCAATGAAAATAGCTTGGTGCTGCTGGAAACAATGCTGGGTAGAAGAACAAGCTGTGAACACACCATGGACATAATATGGCCTTAGGAAGTTTATATGACCAAGAAATGTCCATCTGCGCGTTCAGCAAACATTAAGAAACATTATTATTCATGTAGAGTTTCATGTGTAGCCATCTGACAAATGTAAGGTCAACTTTCTGTCATGTTTATTCTCTTTTTTTAGCTCTGATTTGGTCTCTACCAATTGGAAAAAAGGTTCTTCCTAACTGGTACATGCTCCGCTGTAGAAGAAGATAAGGGCCACTGTGAAAAAAATCATGAATTCGGACTTTTCCCCCTCTAAATTCTTACTTTAAACTGAAGAAATGAAAAAAAAAATTTGAACTCAAATGCATCTTTACAGTGGCGTCATCCTCTTTCATAATCTTTGCTAAGTGGTTGCTAGTTGTCTGCTTTTTGATGCATAGCATATCTGCTTGTTGGTGTAGGCGGTATTATAAAGAATTTATCAGATTTTTTTTTTTTTTCAATTGAACAGCTGTCTACTGTTTCTGGAAACAAAGTAAATGAAAGCAGCAAAAATGTACCAAAGCAGTAGTTGCAGGCCAAGTCCTGCTGCAGTAAAAATGCAAAATGTACATAGTTGGTTCCACAGCTAAGAGGATTTTAAGTTGTCAATTATTTGATAAAAAATGAAAAATGTTTTGCAATCAACAGAAACACATTTTTAGACTTTAAATAAAAGATGGAGGTTTGAAGAGTGAAGCCAACTGGGAAGTGAATCTGCATTAATTCTAATAGCCAGCAGGGGGCGACTCCTCTGCTTACAAAAATAAATCTTATTGCATAGAAGTGTATATGAAAAAAAACTAATTTTTACTGTTTTCTAATGAGGTTATGGACTCAGTTGCTAGTTCCACAGCTCCTTCCGTACAATATGGTGTTCATTTTGTAAATTATCATCCCACTTAGAGTAAAATAGACGATATAATAGGGTATGTGGGGCTACTTTGTGAATGACAAGCTACTGCTCTATAGGCATGAATTAAGTTCTCAGTAAGGTCCATCCCCCGCTGACAAGGGTTAGGGTTAAGGTTAGGGTTTCAAAAGATCAAGATGGCAATAACCAAATGCCAAACTGAAGGCACAAAGATGTTAGTGCAAAAACCAGTCGTGGTAGTTATGTCCATCTTTCATATACACTTTATGTGGCAGGCAGCAATTTTCAAAGCAATATCTCTTGGAACTCGCTAAGCTGGTGAACACAAAGCTAAATAGTTTCCTCTGGAGCTGGTGGAGACCAAAAACAGAGCAAAAAAAGACAGGGACATTCACCACATTGCCAGAAATGCAGGTTCAAAAATAAAGTTGCTCCATGTATTTGATCTGTTTACTATGTTAACTTAAAACATAATACATCAATATTGAGTTTGTCAAACTTGCTGCCGCTGCTCCTAAGTGGAATCAAACATCAGTCGCTGCAGGTTTAAGGTTTGTTCCTTAAAATTGCTGACTGTGCAACATACCGATCCAAAGGAGTTGAATAAGTAGTAGAGAGCCCAGGCAATGATGATAATGTAGTAGATGTTGAGCCAGAACGACAGGACCACTGCAGCCAGACCAACACCTGGAGGAGGAAGAGGTGTAGACATCAGTGCCACCTTTTATCGCTCAGCCTCCATGCAAGGCCGCGTATTACACAATATGTAAGGGACAAATGTAGACTCTCTACACTGGCAATAACAAAAGCCCCAATTTTGCCTGACAGAGAAAAGAAAGCCAGTGTCACTCGGCATCATCTTCAGCCCCATCTTTGTTATTCTGCTATTTCTGATGTTTACTTGCCGTTGGCTTGGAGTATGAGTTGGCGCAGCACCACACTCACTATCACTGTTGCTGTCTGTGCTGGCTGGAGATAAAATGTGCTTCACTCGAGCTCTTTGTGCTCGAAGGCAGCGGTATAATTGCTACCACTGAGCAGCCGAGCAGAAAAAGGATTTTTAAAAGAGAAAGTCGAAGAAACCACTGTACTTTTTTCTTTTTTTTTTTTTTAAATTTGTTTGTTTTGTTTGCGTTTAAAGAGACAGCAACAAGTGTGCCGGCACGGACCAAGAGCCTGATGTCAAGGAGGGATACTGAGCAGAAAGTAAAGTGGTGCCAAATAAAAACTGGTTGAGATGGTTGACAAATAAGGACATTTTTAGAATGATTAGTCCAACACTTAGGAGAGAATCAGTGATGTAAAGTGAACTGAGTTTAGGTGCTAGAAACTGGTTGAAATGTAGGTTTTAGGATGCTCATCATGCTCTATAAAGGGATAAAGAAAATGGCTTTGTTCAAGCAACCATCACTCAGCTCATCCATGAGCAGAAGCATTTTTTTTATTGATTCTATTTTTACTTTTTCTGTGGGGAAGCTGGAGCATTGAGAACTTTGTACAATGAGTTGTTGGGTTGTGAAAATGTTGGTCAGGATGCTCGACTCTCCTCCCAGATCTGCCTACGGGTAAAACTAAAGTAGCCTGAACCTGTACATCCATATCTTCCTACATGTTACCTTTCATCATGGGGATGAGTTTCCACACTCCCAGTCCTCCCACCGAGGTGAACTGTCCCAGCGCCGTCTCCAGGAAGAACAGAGGAATCCCAGCAAACACCAGAGTCAGAAAGTACGGGATCAGGAAGGCCCCTGACACATCAGCACAAAACAGATGAAGGGAACATGTCTGGTGAGATTAAAGACTTTAGAGTTACAATAAATGAAGAGCTGTTGTTGTCAGGAACTTTTAAATGATTTTTCATGAAGTGACAGAGTAGCAGTCATATTAATGTGACTTTGGCTCATTATGGAACATCACTGTGTGTTGTGGCTGCTTTGCTTTGTCACTCTGAGGTAAAGACACTGTGAATTATTATGGTCTATTTTAGAACAAAGGAAAAATGCTGCTGCAATATCATGGTAAGGATGACAAGAACTTCCTCTGGGATTAATAAAGTTCTATCTTATCTTATGATATGTTCTTCAGTTTGTTAAACTGCTGTTCCTGCCTAAAGATCTGTCCTGTGATTAGAATTTTATGAGTTTCCCAGTGAGATAGTTTAACTACTAATGAACAAAAGTGTCCATCGAAAAAATTCAGTGTGATGAACAGGTGCAATGAACCTGTAAAATGTGTTCTTAAAGGGCCAGAACAGTGTTAACGTAGTTCAGCTTTGAAAATAATATTTGGCATGAAAACAAAAGAATGAAAGATTGGAATGAAATTATTATTATCAAATTATTTGGATTTGAAAAATATAAGCAGCTCCTGTGCAGGTTATATGTAAACTATGTGCACCTTCCTTTAAACTTCTCTTGTCCAAACTAAAGTAGAGGCACAAAGTTTAAACTGAAACTGTTAACACTTGAAAAATATAGACAGCATTAAAAATAAAATGTAAAATAAAAAAAAACAAAAAACAATCACTGCAAAAAGACAGACATTAAGCAAAAGATTAGCTTTGCAAAGCATATCTATTTTTAAAAAAAAATCTAAATAAAATGAAATAATTCTTAATATCTTCATGTTTTAATGGAGCTTTTTTTTAGTGTCCTTTTTTTCAATGCCAATACAACTTTTAAAAATACAAATATTTCAATTCCAATGCTTAATTTTTTAGTTTAGTTCATGTTTTCAGTGTAAAATGTGACTTTCAGTTACTCTGTCATTGTTTTGTCCCTGTACATGTTTAATCAAATATACCATTAAACAAAATCTGAAATTTAGAAGTACTTTGGTGTCGAGGAAAAGTCTGTTTCAATTTTAGTTGTCGTCACTAAAGCTAAATCCAAACCATCTGAAATGCCTGGATCACAATAATAAATACAAACAGCATCCTCTGACATCAGTGCAGTGAATCCTTAGTTCTAGTAGAAGAGAATATTCAGTTATTACTCAGTCATAACAGACTTCTTGTTTGTTTGGTTGCACTTCAACTCTTCTCTTACCTCCACCGTTCTTGCCACACAAATAAGGAAACCTCCAGACGTTTCCTAAACCGATGGCGTATCCCACGCAGGACAGCAGGAAATCAAACTTGCCCTTCCAGCTTCCCCTGTCAGGCGGCTCTTCCTTTTTCTTCTTTTCATCTGCAGGGGGCACCACAGGATCCTGTTCCTCGAAGGGAATTGCTTGTTTGACCTCTGATGGGGAGTTCAGGTCCACTGTGCTCTGCCCGGTCTTCCCCATGGCGGGAACGCTACGGACCAGCGGGGTCAGAAAAACCACCTCGTCTGTGGTTGTGTCCGGCTGATAGTCTCGCTCCGGGTTGGGACGGATTCGGGGTGATGTGCTGACACTGGGTGAGCAGAAAGGCTGTAAATGAAGACAGGGGTGTTAACTAGAGTTAATATTTAAAGCTTTTTGCTGCGTGTTTTAGTGGAGGGAGATGCTACTCAAATTAGAATTTACTGGTGTTGAGGCATTTTTACAGCCTTTTATAACCCTTTTATGAACTGGAGCAACTGGCTCCCCAAACTACAGCTAATTGCTACAATAAATCTCTGAGAAAATAGAAAAATCTGGAGCTCCTTCTTAGGAAAAAACTGAATTGGAAAGAGGAGAGGAGGACAAAGGAGCGAACAGGACACATTTTCAAGTGATATCAGAGGAGCCGTGGCTCACATTGACTTGTTAGTGGAGAGACTAGAGTCTTTCTTTTCTTTATCTAAAACCCAGCAACACCTGCCAGTCGACTGGTTACCAATCAAAGGGCCCATGAGAGAGAACTTTGAAACTTTGAGTGCTGGTTTTGAAACAGTCGATCACTCTGTTATTTTCAACTTTGTAAAATTCGAACCATTAGCTGTGGCTACATAGTAGAACCAACATATTTCTAATTTTAGTTTTACACATGCATGAAAAACAAACGTAATACAATGTGTTCTCGAGGTAAAAAAAGCTTGGTGGTTATTGACTAGGAGAGGTGTTGGAACTGAAAAAATCCAGACGATTTCTTTCCCAAGCAGTGTTGAGTTTACTGTTTGGGTTTAAAAATAATTTGCTGCTTAGTTGCGTATGCTGTGAGGTGTTCAAAAATATGGAAAAAATCCTATAACACCTGTGTCAAAGCCAAACTGATGCCTTCATGTGTCGTCTTTTATTCAACCACAAGCCCAAAACTCAATGATTTGAGGTTTATATTCAGTGTTGCTGCAGAAAAAAAAGCAGTAAATCAAATTTTGTGCCTGAAAAATGACTGAAACCATGAACAGATTTCAAGGAAGCTGATTGATTAGTTAACTAATCAGTTGACGGTCTCCTACAGTGAAAAGTTTTCCTTCCTTCCTGGGTCTGGCTCTGCTGGAGGTCTCCTCCTGCTACAAAGGAGACAATCCCCTCCATTGCTGCAGACAAAACATCATAATATAACAATAATATACATAAAATCCTATGAAACCATCTCTAAATTAGCTAGGATAATAATTAATAACATTGGGTTTTAGCCACAGGGTTAATATGAATTAGGCTATATTCCAGAATTTAAAGTACAATAGTGGCATTTTTAGGAGGTTTATTCACAAATATGTAACTTATTCAGGTATAATTAGACTTTATAGAACAATACAGGGTTTTAACTGCTATGTTTAGTCTTGTTGGGCAACTTCTGTGACGCTGATCATGATCCATTTTGCAGGAAAGTACTTTTGTTAGATGTGCCGTACGAAAATCGTCTTGACTTGACTTTATTGTTTTATCTGTCTTTATCTATTATTTGTCTAACACGACATATGTTTTATTGTTCAGCACTTTGTATTATTTTGTTTATTGGTGGTGCTATGCGAATAAAGTTATCATCTTGTCCATATCATGAGTAAAATAAGCAACAAACACCATGACTGAGCATTTCCACCTTCAAACTGCAGTGTGGCAAAGGCTGGATAAAAAACACAGACTCCTTAGTTTCATATGTAACAAACTTAAACAAGCAATGCTGCTAACTTGCAGGCTCTGGCTTTCTGCATCATTGTTCTTCTTCAGAATTAGTTTTTGAATTCCTCCAGTAACATAACTTGCCATTGTGCGTAGTAGTTGGCAGCAGAATCATAGGTAAGCTGGTGTGCTCGAGCTACAGCGAGTGGATGATGGAGAAAGGAGGACTTTCTGAACTGTGTAGGGTTAGATCAAAGCCATTTTAAGGCACAGAATGGTCATTTTTATAAAAAACAAACTTCTAAACATGTGAATTTGCCACACAGATGAGTTTTTAGGGGCTGAATCCATAAGATGAGAGAGGATTTTTAATTTACTAACCATTCTAGGTCTAATTGTTGCTTTCTTGCGTCTATCTCATAGGTTAAAAAAACGGTATATTGGCATCAACCAGACAAGCACAATTACAGACTTCTAAGAGTTTTATTAGATGTGGGTGCTCCATGTGGATACGCCACAACTCCAGCCACAAAAATAGCTCCGAACATGCATCGCTGGCTTGATATGAGCAGGCAGGTGGCACAATCAAGGTCATCCTTGAGAACACAAGACTAACACACCTCCTGCTGTACCTTTCTTTCTTGTCCACCACAGTCAAGTTCATGGTGAGTCAACAGAAAAGAAAAAAAAAAAAGAGAAAGAAACTAAAAAGGCAACCCTTATCAAAATGGCTCACCGCTTTCAGGAAAACTCCCACTGCCTGCTCCGCTCACACATCACTGCCAGTCTGAAGAGGATAATGAGCTTCAGGGCAGGAGCGGGCCTTCGGTTTTGGAATTTGAACTAATAACGATTCAGCCGTTCGCCGCCTATGGAATAATCTCATGCCTGGACAGCATCAGATGATCAGGAAGTCTGTGTACTGGGAGGAAGTCTGCACATGTTTGCAAATATTGATTGACCCAGAAATCGTACAAATTGCTTCATGCCATCGCTCCGGGTTAATTACAGACCGCTTGTTGATATATTTCCGGAGAGAACAAGACATTCCCTGCTCAGGCCTGTTTTTTGTTTTTTTTATCAGAGCCATTATCACACAAAGCAGCTTTTTAAATGTATTGAATCATCAACAACAGCAACACTGCCTTGAAAAGACTGCTGCGCTGAATTCATGATTCTTTGCTTTGTCAAAGCAATATTCATGTTCATTTGCAGTATCTCACACTGAAAAGCCTTTGTGCTGTTTTATAGACGCCTCATTTATGCCCAGTGGCCTTTGACGATGTCGATGAAAAGAAGCATTGGCAAGTGCACCGTATATGAACACACACGATCTATACTGAAAATACTGAAGAAGAGCAGTGCAGCGGAATGGAAATAAAAGTTTTCTAAAAAAGTTTAGAAACAGCATATTTTTTGTGTAATCAAGACTGATCAAACAAATTGTCACACACATTCCTGCTGTGAAATGAGTCGTGTTCCACGCTGCGTAAAAAGTAATCAGCTTCTAGTTGGGCATAATACCATGAAATGTACTTTCAAATTGTTGTCTAGGTGAGAGTGCTTCAAAAGCGAACCAATAATACCAAACACATCAGAGATTCCCTTTGAGGATATCATGCATTTTGATTCAAAGTAAATCCTGCTGTTTTTGACACTTTTTTGGGATGCCAGTTTTTATTTTGGCTTTGGCGAGCAGGAAAGTTGAGTTTTTTCCCCCCACAATTACAACAAAAGATTGCAATTTGTGGACACACTTCACTGACACTTGTCATCGTCGTGGCTCAGTTTGCAATCGGGGTGAAGCAAAGTGTTCATGAATAGGAATGAGGTCCATCCTACCTGACAGAAGTCCTTTATCAGGTCATCAGCTTCAGTTATCCGCACCGGCAGCACAAAAGCCCCCAAAAACTTCAACTTAACATCCAGAAGGAAAACTTGAAAAGCCTCAATCCGATCCTCCGGGCCCAGGGGAAGCCACAACGGATCTGCTGCCCCGTTTTTTGATTTTGCAACTCTCTGTGTCCGGTGCGCTGTGTTTTGGCGGGCTCGCGGCTCGTTCCTGCAGCTGGTATCGAGTGGTTGATAATAAGGTTCGACCTGTGTGTCTGCTTTGATTACTGCTCAGTTCTGACTGGTGAGGCCCCGCGGCCATGGGGGATACAGTGTGTCAATCAACCGGCTCTGGTGGGGGAACTCTAGCAAGCGGCAGCGGCAGCAGTGTGTGTCGTTTGTGCGTCGCGCTTATGTGTTTGTTGTGATAGCCGGGGTCAGCTCTTGCCAGCACCGTTACCATGGTGTTTCCCAACAGAGAAGGGCCCGATCAGTGAAAGGGCTCGTGGAGTTTTGAAAAATGAAACTTGCGATGGCTGCTGGCAGAGAAACTGGAAATGTATGACCACGAATGCGGTCATGCCAGTCTCAGACAAAATCAACACGCAAAGTGACCCAACATTCATCTGCGGCGTGCTTATTTGAATGACAGGAAGAAAATATATGCAGGGGGTGTAAAATAATACTCAATTCTCTGTCGACTTTTAAAATTGATCATTGTTTTTGGGATCTTAAGAAGGGGAAAGTGTGAACATAATAGCTGCAGCTACACCATATGCTTGCTATATTAGCCAGTGAACCCTTCTGGCCTTCGTCTTCAGGCGAACAGTACCGGTACATTGGACTCAGCACTTAATGTTTACCAAGACACACATTCACAGACTCAGACAGGAAAAAAAAGTTCCACAATTACAGTCCTGCCTCTGTGCACCACTCACTGTCTGAGCTATCTCTAATGTCATGCCTTCTGAAATGCCTTTTAAGTTTCCATAACCTCCAGATATGACTTTAAACTAGAGGTGCTAAACAGTCCTAATTGCTGCCTCATGAGCACATTGCATCAAACTTTGTAACTTTAGCTAAACAGCAGCCACTATGGCCACAAGCAGCAGCAGCACAGTGCATGAGATTTCCATTCATTGTTTAAAAGATAAAATAAAACTACAAAAAAAGAGGAACATCTTAGTCTACAAAGTAAAACCTTTGCACAAATGTTTGATAGCACTGTGGCATAGATGCCATGGCAAAAGTAAAACGAATGCAGAAGTGACTAAACCTGCATTGTTTCTCACAACCAGCAGGGGGCGACTCTCCTGGTTGCAAAAAGAGGTCCGACTGTATAGAAGATATATGAGAAAATGATCCTACTTCTCAGATGATTTGCTTCCTCAGTATCCATTTTCCTCATAAGTTTATGGTCTCAGTCACTAGTTTTAAATCTCATTCAATCCAGCATAATGTTTATTTAGTAAAATATGTTCCCA